CGGGTTCAGGGGTTTAGGGGTTTAGGGGTTTAGGGTTAGGGTTTAGGGGTTTAGGGGTTTAGGGGTTAGGGTTTAGGGTTTAGGGTTTAGGGTTTAGGATTTAGGGTTTTAGGGGTTTAGGGGTTTAGGGGTTTAGGGTCTAGGGTTTAGGTTTAGGATTTAGGGTTTAGGGTTTAGGGTTTAGGGTTTAGGGTTTCGGGTTTCGGGGGGTGTAGGGACTTGGGGTTTTGGGGCTTTTCGGGGGCTTAAGGGAATATTGGGTTTGGGGTTTTGGGTCTTTAGGGACTTCGGGTTAAGGGTTGAGGGACAAGGGCTTGGGTTTCGGCTTTTGGTGTTTAGGGGGCTGGATGCAATTTAAGTTGTGGAGCATTTTTTTGGTTCGTACACAAGATCACGTGGGGCTGATGATCTGTTCCCGCCATGCCCTTGCTTCGTTAGTTTTGGTTTATTGTTTAGGGTTTAGGGTTTAGGTTTTTGGCATTTTGTGGAAGGAGTTGGCAGCTGCGGCGTTGTCCGTGGTGAGCCCCTCCCAGGCAGGATGAGGTGGGTGTTTGGAAGGCTGGGGAAGATGGGGTCTAGGGTTTGGAGGGTTTAGGGTTTATAGGGTTTAGGGTTTAGGGTTAGGGTTTGATTTAGGGGTGATAGGGTTCGTCTCACTGATTCCGTGGCGGTCTGTCAGCAGTGAAGAAGAGAGTTTGTTGCTTGGACGCGTGTTCATGTTCCCACCCTATAAACCCCCTAAACCCTATAAACCCTAAACCCTAAACCCTACAAACCCTACAAACCCTACAAACCCTACAAACACTAAACCCTAAACCTCCTGTTTCCGGCTGATCAACCCCCACACTGCACCAGGCCCCACCCGAGATGCTCTTGAAGGCCAAGAGTGCCGAAGACGAGGCTTCGCAACGTAGTGCTTTGGGGTTTTAGGGTTCAGGGTTTTGGGGTTTAGGGTTTAGGGCCGCTCACTGATGTCACCCGTGCAGATTTGATCCGTCGCGTCGCGATGCTTCTAACAGCCGATTTGCTATGTCTGAAGACCTCGCAGATATTTCCAACTCTTCCGCCAGCTTCAATATGACTTTTTATGCTTCATTTCGGGATGTATGTTGGGATTTTCTCCATGAAATGAGCAGTCCTTAATAGGGATTATAGTACCCCCTGCAATATACCAAGCAGGTCTACACTTTAGTGCTGGAGCCTGCAGGCTTGGCTAGGGCCTGTAGTATTGTTATAGCACAAATACTGTTCCTTAAAACAGGGTAGCCCAGTGGTACCCTTTTCCCTTTTTTTGGTTCAAGGTTCCCTTACGAAGTAACCAACCCCCAAAAGGGTACCCTTATTGTAATATAGTTACTGGGCTACCAGGTAAAATAATTTGAACATCATGCCCCGTATTGCCAGTATTGCCATCACTACCCTTCCTCTCATACGTGCAGGAGCGTCAGAGTCGAGAATTGCCGATCTTTTCCCCTCATAAACCCTTTTGACGGAAAACTATCCCGAATTCCCCTTGTAGTGCCTAAGCCCTAAGCCCTAAACCTACACCCGAATCGAATTGCATAGGCCCGGCGCTGCCCCGAACCTTAATCCCGAAGAGGGCAGTGACGCCGACACGGACGATGGCGATGATGAGGATGAAGACACTCCCGAGGCTGAGCAAGTTGGATTACTTTCTAACCCGGACATTGGAGGGCTTATGGGCTTTACAGGAAACAAATGGCTCATAGGGTTCATAGGGTGTGCAGGGTGGGTGTAGGGCGATGGCACAGGGGGTTGTGGGGTCGGGTTGAAGAACTTGGTGTAATGGGGCCTGTGGTATCGTCTTCGGCGTGCAAGCTCAAGACTTGGTTCCACCATTTCCTAGGAAGTCGACCTGTATGAAGCCGAATCCGCAAGGAAAGGGTTGACCCTAAACCCGGTGGGCAACCGGGAGCTGGCTTCCTAGAACAGCCTCCATGCCCCTAGAAAAGGGGTTAAGGGTTTCGGGATTTCGGGTTTAGTGGATTGAAACACTGAGGAGCCTGATGCAAAGTCTTTCATTCTGGGGTGCGTCTGCCTTTTCTGGAACGGTTGCCAGGGCTACGCAAAGCACGCCCGAAGCCCAAAGCCTTCATCTGCGGCATGCCTGATGCCCAAAAGCTACTCTTCTTTCACTTGGGGCTTTTCGGGTTTATGTTTGAGGCTGAGGGTGTTGGGAGCTCTTGTGGTTTTTGCCAGGGTGCCCAAGCTGAGAGGAGAAAGACATGTGTGACGGCCTTTGGACACGTAGTTTACGGATGTCCCTAAACCCTAAACCCTAAACCCTAAACCCTAATGTCACTTTCCATGCGCTTCAACTTGGCGGAGGGCAAACAAACACACCCGGGGGGGATGGGGGGGGGGGTGATCGAATTTACCGACCCTTTCAGGGTTTAGGGTTTAGAGTTTAGGGTCTTTGTTTGGTATCTTCTACGATAACTTGCTGGCTCTTAGTAGAGAAGGGTAGTTCGGTACCCTGTATCCCCTAAACACGCCCTTCAAGTGCCCACGCACTCCACAACCCTCTGCCGAGCCTCTCATAACAAAGTTCGGATCCTGACCCTGCACCCTAAGTCCGAAACCCTAAACCCGAAGCGCTAAACCCTAAACCCTAAACCTTAACCCTAAACTTAGGCCTGAACCCCAAACCCCGCGGCCCAGCCTGGACTTGAACCTTAACCCCCCAAACCACAGTCAGGAGCCCCAAACCTTTGGAGAAACACTTCCCTAGGGCTTGGGTCTAGGGTTTAGGGTTCAGGATTTAGGGTTTAGGGTTAGGATGTATTTCCCTTTTCGTTCCGGTTAGGGGTTTTTTGGTTTTGAGGTGATTAGTTCCTAGAAGCCCAGGGCCTAGGAATAAGCCTGGGAAGGAGCCCCCGGCTGGCGTGACGCCGGCCAACAAGACGGCCCACGTGGGGACCGCGCTTGCACTCGCCTCAGGGTCATGTGCGTAGGGGGTTAGAGGGTTCAGGGTTCAGGGTTCAGGGTTTAGGGTTTAGGGTTTAGGGTTTTAGGGTTTAGGGTTTGGATACCCTCAACCCTAAACCCTAAACCCCAAGCCCTAAACCCTAAACCCTGAACCCTGTAGACTGCCAGCAGAGAGCGCAGTGCCAAAACTGAAGCCCCAAACCCAAAAGGCCCTAAACCCTAAACCCTAAACCCTAAAACCTCTTCCGGGGTTGGGCCCAGAGAGATCCCAGAAGGTGTGAGGGGGGCCTAGGTTGGAAAGACCAAAAAGGACCTCAGGCTGCGAAGTCCAAGCTGGCATATCCTGATATTATGATTGTGTCTTATCTGAAAATCTACTATATTATGTAACATCATATACGTCATCGTATAAAGTTTACAATCATATCATGCTACCTATATATATATATATACACATATCTATGTATATATATACACATACACACATACATACACACATATATTTCTATACACATATTTGTACTGCGTTTTAGGTGTATGCAAGTGTATTTTTATGCAAGGCAATACAAGCTTGTATTGTATCATCTTACTTTATACAACCCCTCCCAGCTTCCCAGCCGAAGAGGGCTTTGGGGTCCTTACAGTATATTTATATATACATCGGTAGATATACATACATATATAAAGGGATCATAAAGGGGAAGCTCTTAGTAATCATTCCGACCCTTTAGTAGCTGCTCTGCGCAAGTGAGCTTTGCCCCCGAAGCCCTCGACACCCTGAACCCTCATCAAAGCTAAACCCCTAAAGCCCTAAAACCCCTAAAGCCCTAAAGTCCTAAGCCCCTAAACCCCCAAACCCCCTAGAACCCTAATCCCAAATTCAATCTTCGGCCCTGACAGGTCCAGGTCCACCAGGCCAATGTGCAGGCGCAGAAGCAGCAGGCCTCACCACGAGGGTCAATTTCCACTCCAACTTTAAACGGTTTAGGTTTAGGGTTGAGGTTAGGGTTTAGGGTTTAGGGTATTTCGGGGATCCCTGACCTTAAAGCAGTTTGGAATTCAGGGCTTAGGTTGTAGGGCTTCAGCGGTGTGGGGTTTTGGCCTTTCAGAGGTGTAGGGCGTTTCTTTCCCCCCCACGTTTTGAGATTTAGGGAGTTTAGGGTCTCAAGGGCGTGGGGTTTGGGGTTTGGGCGGCCTGCTGCTGTTGTTTTTTTTGGGCGTGTCGGGGGCCGGGTGGGTTAGAGTCTGGGTTTAGTTTTTGAAGCTTTTTGTTGCCGGGAGAGGGGGGGGGGGGACCCAGACAGGCTCCGCCCACGCCGGTCGTGCTGGTGTCGCACGCGGAGGAGGCCATTCTGGGGGCTTAGGGTTTAGGGTTTAGGGCTCGTAGGGCTCTTGGCGCTCTTGGGGCAACTTAAGGCCCTTCCGGCCCTTAGGGCTCTCAGAGCTTTTTAAGGTTCTGAGGGTTTGGGGTTCAGGACCAAAACGGGCTTTGGGGTCAGGGTTTCAGAGTTGAGGGCCTTGGGTTGTTTTGGGGCTGACTTTGAGGCCTTGTGCTGTGATCCTGTGACCGGTGGTGGTTAGGATGGTGAGGATGACGGTCATCATCATCATCACCACCATCGTTATCGCCATCGTCATCGTCATCAGCAGCATGATCATCATGATCATCATCATCATCATCATCATCGTCGTCGTCGTCGTCACCACCATCATCAGCACCATCACCACCAGCACCATCATCGCGGGCTAGGAAACATCGACCAGCTCGCAGCCCTCCGAAGAACGATTTGGGACAAGGTAGGATGAGGAGAACAACACGGAGAAGGCTCCTCATTTCTGTAACCGGAGTCTCCCGAAACCTCCTTGTTTGCACGACCAAATCTGCATTATGAGATTGTTACTGGGTTACCAAGTACCCCAAACCCGGAACCCGAACGGAGCCGAAGCTCTTGCCACACCTTTCATTTCCCTAAACCCTAAACCCTAAACCCTAAACCCTAAACCCTAAACCCTAAACCCTAAACCCTTTGATACCTTCACGGCCCCCACAGATGGCTCACCGCTACGGTCCCCAGGGCTGTGCCTGGATCCCAGCATCCTCCAGCCTTGGATTTCGCTGAAAATCGACAAGGGTTTAGGGTTTAGGGTTTGGGGTTTAGGGTTTAGGGTTTAGGGTTTGGTTTAGGGTCTAGAGTTTCGTTGTAGAGTTGAGGGTCTTCAGAGCTCCTAGGTGCTGGGGTTCAGGGCTCCGGGTTTCGAGGGCCATTGCTTAGGAGCCTTGGTGCGGGGAGAGGGGGGCTGCAGGCTTCTTCCTGTTTAGGGTTTAGGGTTTAGGGTTTAGGGTTTAGGGTTTCAGGGTTTAGGGTTTAGGGTTTCAGGGGTTCAGGGGTTCAGGGTTTCAGGGTTTAGGGTTTCAGGGTTTAGGGTTTAGGGCTTAGGGTTTAGGGTTCTAGGCCTTCGACCCCGAAGGTGTTAGGGAGGGTTGTTCCTGGTGCTTAGATTCGGGTTCTCTGTTGGGGCATGTGTTCCTAAACGCCCTAGACCCCAGAGCATAAGCACAAACGAGTCCTGATGTTGTTATTTCACCATTTTATACATAAAGAGTACAGCATGGCATCCTTCTGAGTCGCCGTAAGACTGGTAAGCTTGAGGCTTTCCGGTGGTAGGATGGTAGCCCTAAACCCTAAACCCTAAACCCTAAACCCTAAACCCTACACCTCCTTCCTACGCCGCCAGGAGTAGGGGGTAGCACGAGGTCGTTCTGAAAAGTCACCGCTAAAACTTCCAGATTACAAAAACCTCAACCATCCCACATTACTCTTAAACCCTAAGCCCTTAAACCCCAAACCCTAAACCCCTAAGACCTGAAGCCTTGAATCTGAGTTCCCGAGCGATGCAGAGCCCTGATTTCCTTTTGGGGTTTCGAGCCGGATCACTTTGTTGATTCCGCCCGGGGTGGGCAACCAACTAAGCCTGAAAACCCCCAAAACACCCTCAACCCCTGACTGGATTGCAGAGCCTGAACTCAAAACCCTGACCCCAAAGCCCGGCCTACCACGCTAGAGCTCCTCAACCCTACACTCCCAGGTTCTTGTCGGGTTTCAGTGTTTCAGGGTTTAGGGTGTAGGGTCTAAGCTGGAGGTTGTGCACTCCAGTCATGGGCTTTCGTGGAAAGCGCTTCTTCTGCCTATGAAATCCTGCGAGGCTTCAAGGCCTTGTGAAGCTGGCAGCCCTGAAACCCAAAAGCGCCCGAAAAAAACCCTGAAGCCCGAAACCCCTAAAGCCCCAAAGCCCTAAAGCCCCAAAGCCCTAAAGCCCTAAACCCTAACCTAAACCCTAAACCCTCAAAGCCCTTACTCAACCCTGAAGTTGGAGCCCAGCCATTGCCATGAAAGTTTTTTTCATGGAGGTCTCTTGGCAAGTTCCTTTACATGGAACTCCCTTGGGTGAACTTCGTATCCATCTTAAAGGCCTTTTGATGAGGGAACCCATGTCTGAACAGCATCTTTCCGAGAAACCCTGCTGAGTTCCAAACCCTAAACCCTAAACCCTAAACCCTGAACCCTAAACCCTAAACTGTGAAGCCTTGAGGTGAAGACCTTCAGAGACGAGAAGAGCCGAACTTGCCACCCAGTCGAGTTTAGGGTTTAGGGTTTAGGGTTTAGGGTTTAGGGTCTAGGGTTTAGGGTTTAGGGTTTAGGGTTTAGGGTTCAGGGTTTAGGGTTTAAACCCTAGGGTTTAGGGTTTAGGGTTTAGGGTTTCCGCCTAAATCCTCAACCCATCCGCTAGGCGCGCGGGCAAAAGATTCGCTGGAACTTCGCAATACTGGAAGTCTAAGCTCCTGGGGTGCCCGGACCTTCTGCAGATAAGGGGGTTTACGAAAAGAAGGGACCTTAATATAGTCCCCCAAATAGTAGGACTCCCTTATCCAAAGGGGCCTCAAAAAGGTACCCCACTAATGTCCTGGGTCTTGGAGTACTATACTTTAATACTATTTTTGGTTCTGGGTTCCTGTTCTAGCTACTTATACCTAAAAAGTATATACTTTTTTTCCAGGGTCTACTCCAAAGCTAAGTGTCGGACACCCCCAAAAAAGGTTTCAGAAGGGATTGTATTGCCTGGTTCACCTGTGGGCGGTTCGGGGTTCAGCTGGAAGACTTAAGAGAAACCCTAAGCCCTAAACCCTAAACCCTAAACCCTAAACCCTAAACCCTAAACCCTAAAAGCACAAACCTTAACCCTAAACCCTAAACCTTAAACCCTAAGCCCTAACCCTGAAGCCTCAAAGCCACTTTGGGCTGCTTTTCTAGAACCTGGAGTCGGCCTTTGTTTCCCTTTTTTAGGGTTGGGGTTCCCTTGCAATCCCTTAAAAAGCCAGGGTTTAGGGTTTAGGGTTTAGGGTTTAGGGTTTAGGGCCAAGAGGGCACCCTTTTTGAATTCCCAGGTTACTCCTGGGTCGAGTTTTAAGGAACACACACCAAAGATACCATCCGAAGCAACTCCGAATGCTTAGTTCTAGGTCCGTATTACTACTACTCAATAGTTCTGAATTAGGGTTGGTTTAGGGTTTAGGGTTTAGGGTTTAGGGTTTAGGGTTTAGGGTTTAGGGTTTAGGGTTTAGGGTTTAGGGTTTAGGGTTTAGGGTTTAGGAATTCTCGCTGCCAGTGAAGCATGGTTGCAGGTTCGGGGCTTGGGCTTTGCGGGCCTTAAGCTTGAAAGTTGCTCGAACGGTCGATGTGGGCCCAGGAAGACTTCTTTGTCATAGTCGGGGTAGCATTTTGCCTTTTAAGGGTACTTCAACTCAACAAGGAATAGAAATCTAGATTTTTCATACGATCCCAACCATGAAGTAGAGTTGGCCTCGCTCCCTCTAGGGATTCAAAAGCCCTAAATTCTCAAAGACCACGCCCTTGTGCTAGGCTACGAGAGTCGACTTTCCTGCAGTCTGCACCCTGAATTGTAGGGTGTAGGGTTTAGGGTTTAGGGTTTAGGGTTTAGGGTCTAACCTTACACCCTGAACCCGACAATCCTAACCCTGCACCCTCAACCAAGGCATCATGAAAACGGATTGCTCCACAGCCGCAGGCCATCCGCAGCATTTCGGGGTCGGACGATGTAGTGGTCTGGGCGGGCTCCCACCCCTAAACCTGAAGCCTGGAACTCCAAACCCTAAACCCTAAACCCTAAACCCTAAACCCTAAACCCTAAACCCTAAACCCTAAACCCTAAACCCTAAAGCCTTGATTTTTCCGGGTTGTGTCTGGCTATCGTGTGGGCTCTGAGGTTTGTGAGGTAGCTCGGACCTAGATTGGCTTTAGAGTTTCAAGGGCTGGGGATCGTACCGAATTCCCGAGCTTACAATGACCCTGTAAGTTGACTTCGCTCCTAACTCTTAATGACAAAAACGGATATTCGGCACCTTCTATCCCCCTTTTATGGGAATGTATGGGGCAATTCGCAATTTCCCGATGAAGAATCAGCAAGAAACCCTAAGCCCTAAGCCCTTCCATCTTGGGTTTATGTTTAAGGCTAAGGCCTAGATTTTCAGGGCCCACCTGTGACCTGTGACTCTATCTGCTTGCGGCTAGTGCTCAGTACTCTGCGCTTTTCGTCAACAAGTAATTACAAGCCATACAACTGTACGCCGGTGCAGCTAGGGTTTAGGGTTTAGGGTTTAGGGTTTAGGGTTTAGGGTTTAGGGTTTAGGGTTTAGGGTTTAGGGTTTAGGGATGCCGGGGGTCAGCAACCTGTCTGGGATGTGGCCGCTTCGTCGGCAAAGCGAGGTGAATCTCGCCCTCCTGGTCCGGACTGTCTACTTGGAGGTTCATGGTACTGATTAACCAATTATCATTGTACTTATAACCCATTCTTACAAAAGCCCTTAAGTACCCCAATATAGTTACAAGTACAGTTATAGTTGGTTCATAAGTACCATGAACCTCCAAGCAGGATCAGATGGCTGTTGCTTCGTCGGGACGAGGAGAAGCATGCCGCTTGGATGCGCGATCCGAAGGGCGCCAATGGGGAGGACAAGGACAAGACACGGCCTTTGACCAGTGGTATGGTGGGCATCAATATGGGGGTTTACGAAATGGGGGTACCCCTTTTAGGGGTCCCTTTAAGGGGATCCTATTCTATTTGGGGTCTATTTAAGGTTCCCCCATTTTTCGTAAACCCCCATATCAACACTCTACCTTTGGGCAGTGGCAATGGGGAGGACGAGGACAAGACACAGCCTTTGACCAGTCGTATCATCAAGACGCTCCCTTTGGGCAGTGGCGATGGGGAGGACGAAACAGACTTGGGCCAGTCGTATCAACCCTAAACCCTAAACCCTAAACCCTAAACCCTAAACCCTAAACCCTAAACCCTAAACCCTAAACCCTAAACCCTAAACCCTAAACCCTATAAACCCTAAACCCTGAACCCTAAATTAACCCTAAACCCTAAAACCCTAAACCCGTGGCAGTGGGAGTCTCTTCTGCTTGGGGTAGCCAAGCCATGCTTGCTCTAAACGCTCCTTCTGATATTGGGCCACTCTATTTGGGCAGAGTCTGACTTGCTAAACGGCTCGGGAAGCAGTGCTTGACAGGTTGCAATGGCAGGAACCTTTTGACCCGAAGCCGTAAACATTGAAGAACCTTAGCACAGAAGGACCGAAACCCCTCAAGAACCGTGAGCTGCAGCAAAAATCCTTAGGCCGAATCCTAGCAATTTCTGGATGACCAGCAGTTCCGTTTCTGGTCCCATTTAGGCCCCTTCAAACAAAAATGCTTCCCGCACATCCCTCTAAACAGTCAAGCTCAAGCAGCATCGTAGACAGGTTTTCTTCAGAAGCCTGAAACCCTGAATGCAGAAACGGCTCTGAACCCTAAACCCTAAGCCCTAAACCCTAAACCCTAAACCCTCAACAACCCTAAGCAAGAAGCCCTAAGCCAGAGGCTTCAGCGAGTTCGACATGGGCTTTCGGTGTGCCCAGGGCTCAAGAGACCCAGTGTTCAAAAGCGCTTCGGTGTCAGGCAGAATAGGAACCCAAACAATACAATCATACCTGACATGATGACTGTGCTTAGAACCCTTTTTTGGCTAAATGGGCTTATAGGTGGGTGATAAGTGCAGTTATGATTGGCTAATAAGTGCCAAGTGTGTCTGGCTTGCTTCAGGTCTGTAGGGCTGAGCCTACGGTTCCAACCTGCACCTGCGCCTGAGGAGGTGAGGCGTAGGCGTAGGCGGGACCCCTTTCTTTTCGGAGCTGTAGATTCATTCAGAGCTTTTAAAACTTATGACTTTTCAAACCCTAAACCCTAAACCCTCAACTAATCCCTAAACCCGAAACCCTAAACCCGAAACCCTAAACCCGAAACCCTAAACCCTAAACCCTAAACCGCAAGGGGTTTCGGGCTCAGCTTTCTAATAGGGGCTTCCTTCGCCAGAGCGGCGCATGGAAAAGGCCCGGGTTTCCCTTTTTGGGAAGCCCAGGAAGCCAAATTTGGGGTCCTTACCATGATCTGCAACCCTAAACCCTAAACCCTAAACCCTAAACCCTAAACCCTAAATCCTAAATCCTAAACCCTAAACCCTAAACCTTACGGGTATTGGGCTCTCCCAGGATAGCTTGAGGACTCGGCAGTTGTGCAGTGGCGACTGAGGGCTCGGCGTGCGTCGGCTGCGACGACTCCAAGGCCTGTTCCCCAACCCTACATAGGCCCTAAGGGTTTAGGGTTTAGGGTTTCGGGTTTAGGGCTTCGGGCTTAGGGTTAGGGTAAGCTTATGAGGGAACTAGATTTAGGGTGTCGGGTTTCGGGTGTGAGGGTTGAGGGTGTAGGGCTTGGGGGTAAGCTTGCTTCTTTTTTGTTGTAGGGAATGAGGGAACCAGGCCCGTGAATCCCTCTACACATACCAATGAGGGGATTTTCTACGGTATCTCCTTCCCTCATTTCCTTCTAGCCAGTAAGTAAGCACAAACTCTAAACTTGCAGCATCCGCGGGTGGAAAGCCCACGACCCTAATCCCAGAACTGCTGGATTTGGGGTTTTAGAGTTTTGTCAAAAGGTGTTTTTGGTTTTTGTGGCTTTTGGGCTTGGGACTTGGTATAGCCCTGGACCCTAAACCCTGCACTCTACACCTTGGAGTGGTTCCCCCTTCTACTAACAGTCCTTTATCAAGGATGATAGTAGGGTGTAGTCTAATCCCTGTTAAGCACTGTTAGTGTAAAGGGGGAACATCCCAACTCCGCGCCCCTTAAAGCCTCAAACCTAAACCCTTAGCCCTGAAGGCCTCAAGACCTCAAGCTTCAGATGGCCAATGCCTGACCCGTTTAGGGTTTAGGGTTTAGGGTTTAGGGTTTAGGGTTTAGGAAACCAGAACCTCGCAAAGCGCACCGCGACAGAGCTCGTAGCCCAAACCCCCCAAAACCCAAACGCTTCACCCAGATCCTGAACCCTGCCCTTAACCCCAATCCTGAACCCTCGAAATCATGAGCCCTGAACCCAAAACTTGTAGTGCTTAGGGTTTAGGGTAAGCAAGCTTATGCGGGAACTAGGTACCCGAAAATCATGAACCCGAAGCCCGTCCTGTGAGAGGCGGTGGTCCATCTTTTCGGCCTGGGATCCTTTGCTGTGAAGGCGCCGCGAGATTAGGGTTTAGGGTTTCGGGTTTCGGGTTTCGGGTTTCGGGTTTGGGCGTGTTGAGGTGGGGAGGCTGCCGAGCTTAAGGACTTAGGGTTTGGGGTCAAAGGGATTACGTCAGAGGGTCTTTGGGCTTTGCTTGTGTGTAAAATTTAGGGTTTATGTGCGCGGCTCTACTAAACCCTAACACCCTAAACCCTGGCACAGGCCCTGCAGCCCCAAGGAGAACCGCAAAGAAGTCCAAACCCACGTACTTCAGGGATCTGTATGTAAAGTCATACTGACCCCTACAGGAATACCCAGGTATATACATACATGTTACATATGTATATACATATATCTATCTTTCTTTCTTTCTATGTATCTATATACACATACATACATTCTAAACCCTAAGCCCTAAGCCCTCTCATGTGGCTGTGGTCAGAAGTCTGGCAAGGAGACCTTCGACACCCAAATCGCCTGTGACAAGTGCCTTCCCTTGGAGGAGCCCCCAAACCCTAAACCTTAAACCTTACCCTAAACCCTAGAACCCAAAACCCTAAACCCTAAACCCTATACCCCACATCCCCTGAAAGTCCTAGGAGCCGTATAAGTCCCTAAGATTTCAATGTACCTCTGTGGTATATACTTGGGTTCGTAAAGCAGCTGCAACGAAACCCTGTTGAGGCCCAAGTGTTTAGGGTTTAGGGTTGGGGGTTTAGCCCTCAAAGGCAAAGCCTCAAGCCCTACACCCTCTCAACACCCGATACCTGTAGCGTTTTAGGGTTTAGGAGAACGGGTGTAAGGTATTCATTGTCTTAGGCGCTAATTTCTTGCTCGGCCCACAGACGTCTTGAACGAGAAAGGTCCTCTTCGATTCAGGTGCTCTGAACTTTGACCCGTCTTCCCTGGGGGTGGGGGTCCACAGTCATCCAAAACCGGGCTCATCTTCAGGACTTAATAGGAAAGTACCAGACCCCTAAACCCTAAACCCTAAACCCTAAACCCTAAACCCTAAACCCTAAACCCTAAACCCTAAAAAGGCGCCACCTTGTCCCGCTCGTCCCTGCAATGTCTCGAAGCAAAGCCCGGTTGAGCTTTCGGGCTTAGGGTTTGGGGTTTCGAGGGGGCATAGGGCATGGGGTTGTAGCTGTTGGGGCTTCCGGCTCCTTACTAGGGTCCAGGATGTGAGGGTTACGGTTGCTTAGGGTGTAGCGTGCAGGGGTTTAGGATTGAGTGTTTTGGGCAAGAATACGCAAGGTGTGAAGACTCGTACCATACGCTCCTAATATGGCGCTTTTCCTACCTCAAAGATCTTGAAAAAGGGTCCAAGGTACAGCCTCTAGAAATACAGCTGTGGCGTTCCATGTGGCTTCTGATTCACCCTGCTTCTTTGGGGGGTCCGCCACCTGTCTGTAGCAGTCGGTTTGTGCTTGACGAACAATTGGGTTTAGGGTTTAGGGTTTAGGGTTCAGGGTTTAGGGTTTAGGAGTAATTCCCCAAGTCAAACTGTAATGTAGCGTAGCTCAACTAGGCGGTTTTGGAGGCGACTTGCGATAGGCCTGCCTCCACCACAGGAGAACAAGCATCAGACGGCATTGGGCTGAGCATCATGCTTTGTCAAGGGTTCATCGTATAGGTTGCTTTGAATGCGGGGTGCGCTCTCCAGGCGAGTGTTCAGGATTCGGCCTTTTTGGGGTGCAGAAAGGGCCGCGGAGTGTTGGGAGCTTACGGTTACTGCAGTAAGGGCACTGCGTTACTTTCTATACCACCCCAATATGGGGGTTTCCGAAAATATGGGCCCTCTTTAGGGTTCTTTTAATGGATCATACAGTATCTTGGGGGTAGCTAAGGGATACCCCTACTTTCGGAAATCCCAAGTATGTGGAGCGAAATCCAGTTCCTTGACTTAGCTAGAGACCCGTCCACCTTCTTGCTTTCTCTTCGGAGCAAGAACCTCAGCCGCGTAGCCACCTCCAGCGTTCAATCATCGACTTGAATGCCCAATATGGGTGGTTGTCAACCTTATGGGCCCGATTTCGATCCCTATTATAATACGGCACCTAGTATTTAGGGTACTCCAAAAGGGATCATACTGTTGACAGCCACTCATATAGGGGTTTAGGGTATGCCCTTTTTTTTTTCATCTAGGGGGAGGGATCACTTGTAAACCCGCCTGAAGAGACGAAACCCATCTTGGCGCCCTAAAACCCTAAACCCTAAACCCTAAACCCTAAACCCTAAACCCTAAACCCTAAACCCTAAACCGCCTCAGCCCTACCACCATCCTTCCCTCCATTCCCGCTGTTTTTTTTCGAGCAGGTCAGCGACTTAGCCTCCGAGGTCGTGAGCCTGAGGCTGGGTGTGAGGGTTTAGGGTTTAGGGTTTAGGGTTTAGGGCTTAGGGTTTAGGGTTTAGGGTTTAGGGTTCAGGGTTTAGGGTGAGGATGTTTGATTGAGGGCAGACTCCCTTCCCCCAAAGACTCCCCCCTACACTATTAACATAGCTACAATTGCCCATATGCTCCCCTACACGATAATATAGCAATAATGGCTATTTCCCCTATACTCCCCTACACTACTAATATAGCTAGAACTGGCCATACTGGGAGTATTGAACAATTAGGGGGTAGGGGGGGGGGAGGGCCAATACTATCAATATAGCTAGAGTGGGCAGAATGGGAGCATCTAAAGATTAGGGGGTAGGCGGGGCCAATATTAGGGGGAAGGGCTTAGGGATTTGGGGGCCGACTGAATCGGCACAGCGAGGCTGCGTTGCCACCAGTGCCAGAGACTTGAGGGTGTGCTGCTGGCTCCCTAAACCCTAACCCTAAACCCTAAAACCCTAATTAAGCCCTAAACCCTAAACCCTAAACCCTTACCCTACAGTACAGCCTAAACCCGGGCTTGCTGCCGAGCTGCATGCCTGCAGTGTCGTCACCAAACCAACAAGCCAAGCAACGAGAAGCGCCACCGTTGCAATAATCCCCCCCTTTTTTTTAACCACCCCCCTACTCCCTACCCCCTAATATTAAATACCCCCCCCCCCCCTACGGTTATATTATAGTATATTGCGGGATTTTAATATGGCATCGTCGGAGATCCTGTAACTTACTGTAGGTTAGCCAGGAATGAGGGAATTAGGGCCTATTGTGTACCCTTTAAGGGTTTATATAGGGCACCTCATTCCCCCCCATTCCCTACTAAGCAACAGTAAGGCAAATTTTGGGGCTGCACTTTTGACCTGTTGTCTTCAAGCTCGTCGTGTGTTCTGTTACAGTAGGTTGTGAGTGACTTAGCGCCTGGTGTACCCGGTTTCGGGGTCAACCCTAAACCCCAAACAAGCCGGAAGATGCCCAGATGTCGACCCATGGTTCGAGCGCCCCAAACCCTTAATCCTTAACCCTTAACCCTTAACCCTAAACCCTAAACCCTAAACCCTAACCCCTGAACCCTAAACCCTAAACCCTAGACCGCAGGCAGAACCTTGCAGAAGTCTCCTCGTCCATGGATGGCCTGCAGAAGAAGGCAGGTCCGAGGAATTGGGAGGGATGGTTTTTGCAACTTCGTGGGCAGTTCCTATATCCTTTTTTTTTTTTTTTTTTTTTTTTTTTTCAAATTTTGGTTTATATAAAACCCGAGAGGATATTAAAGATAATATTTTTATTAAGGTCCTAAGGGGAGTCATGGTTCGGGGATTAGGTACCTTCTGTCCGCCGACATCTACCCTACAAGGGGCTTTATTGGGCGCCTCTCTTCCCCAAACCCTAACCCCTAAACCGTCTAAACCCTAACCCCTAAACCCTAAACCCTAAACCCTAAACCCCAAACCCCAAACCCTCAACCCTAAACCCAAAAACCTAAGGATGTCCACAAGGTGTCAGAGTCGAAGGCAGCAGGGTTTATGACATCTCAGACTCCGGGTGGCAGGACGCAGGAGGGGCACCGGGAGGGGGTTGAGGGTTTAGGGGTCAATGTTGGACCGTGTTTGGTCCGGGCCTCCTCTAAAAAGTCAATTTGGCTGTGTTATTCAGGACACCCTGACTGTTTGGGGTCCCTGTTTAAGGTCAGATCGTCCGGGCGCCATAAGAAAATTCTACGTGGCGCACCTTTAAAAAAGATTGCCGGGCATCGCTGCCCCTTTTCAACTTATCTAAACTCCCTATTAAAATCACATAAACCCTCGGGGCCGTGTAAAGAGAGCACAGTCTAGCCTTGACTATCCCGGGGGGGGGGGGGGGGGAAACACTAAACAGGGTTCAAGTTAGGGTTTAGGGTTTAGGATTTTGGGTTTAGGGTGTAGGGTTTAGGGTTGGTGGGGGGGCCGAAGCCTGGAAAGCTCTTGAGTCTGAGTTGGTTTGGTGATGTTTTCGTTCGAGCCGTTTGTGCGGATGAATCTGCGGCGTTTTCGGCTGGTCCTAGTCATCGCCGAAGCACCTGAACCCTAGAATTCGCCCTAAACCCGAAACCCTAAACCCCTAAACCCTAAAGCCTGGAGAAAAAAAACCCTAAATCCCTGCGGAGCGGTCCGTCCAGCTATGCGGGTGCCAAAAACCCCAAAAATCCGAATATGCCTCCGCGCCCCCCCCCCCCCCCCCCACCCGGCCACAAATGCGTGCAGGTCCTCTCAGCCATTCAGCTGCGAGGCACATGGAGCCCACTCCGTTGAATTTAGGGTTGAGGGTTTAGGCTTCGGGAACCCCAGAAGCCCTTGTTTAGGGTTTAGGGTTTAGGGTTTAGGGTTTAGGGTTTACGGTTTAGGGTGTGCTATACAAGGTTATCTGAAGTATATTCCTCCAAGGGTCTGTGAGGGCCCAGTGTCTTGTGGTGGGGAGGTTCAGGGTCTAGGGAAAATTCCACTGAGAGAGTTGGACCCTGCAGCAGCTGTGGGTTGTATCATGCACTGATGAACCCTAAACCCTAAACCCTAAACCCTAAACCCTAAACCCTAAACCCTAAACCCTAAACCCTAAACCCTAAACCCTAAACCCTAAACCCTAAACCCTAAACCCTGCACCGACGTATTTAGGGAGCCAGTTACTTTTTTTGGAGTCGAGTCTCGGGTTCTCATGGCTCCGACTTGATGAGTATTTGATGGATAGAAGTGGGGCTTTGCGAAAATAAGGGCTTCGGGTGTAGGGTTTAGGGAGATAGACCCTACGGACTAAGATTCCCTTGCAAAAAGGTACCCCTAATTTCGGAGACCCCCAAGTTGGGCTTTACATCGGATTCCGAATCCCCCCCCCCCCCCCCACCCCCCCCCATGCCCCCCTGCCTCAAAAGACTTTAAGAGCCCAATAGGCACTTTTGTGTAGGCTACCTATAAACTCTATGACTAAACTACAAAAGCACAGGTCCTGGGCTCCTGAGAGAGAGATATGTGTCTATATATATATATTTGTAAATAAACAAATAAATAAATACAGAAGCAAATAAATCAATAAATAAATAAATATAAATGTACATATATATATATGTATATGACATTTGGAGCTTGAAAGGGTCATGGTTTGGAACGGCCCCCTACTTGACATGCCTCCATCATCCTGCATGGAGCCCTTGTTAGAGTTTGGGGCTTAGGGCTTAGGGCTTAGGGTTTAGGGTTTAGGGTTTAGGGTTTAGGATCTAGGGTTTAGGGTTTAGGGTTTGGGGTTTCGGGTTTAGGGTTTAGGGTCTAGGGTTCAGGGTTTAGGGTTTTGGGTCGCCAGGCCAAGGGAAGCTGTAGCAGATGGGCGAGAATAGTGATTCTTGCTTGCAAGGCGGCCATGGGCAGTGAGTTGCACCCCCGGCGCGGAACGTCTCACTTTAGGGTTTAGGGTTTGGGGTTTAGGGTTTAGCCTGCCTTTGTCTGGGATGAAGCCCTGGTTGTGCTTGCTGACATGCTGATGGCGCCATAGGGGCTTCATGTTCAGTGCCGTCTATCTTGGGTTTAGGGCTTAGGGTTTAGGGTTTGGGGTTTAGGGTTTGGGGTTTTGGGTTATGGGTTTAGGGCTCGATAGCCCAGTGGTGCCCTTTTCCCTTTTTTGGGTTCAGGGTCCCCTTGTAAAGTAACCAGCCAGGAAAAATGGTGACCTTGTTTCAATGTGGTTACGGGGCTACCAAGGTATCCGGTGATATCCAGCGGCCGAAGCGTTGCAGACAAAAACTTCCTGCCGACCGAAGTCTCTGGAGCCAAGCCATTAAGAGGGTTTAGGGTTTAGGGTTTAGGGTCTAGGGTTCAGGGTATAGGGTCTCGGGTAAAATCCGTAAGCCCTTGGCCCAACCCCTCTCAAACTCCCAGTTTTTAGGACCCCAAACCCATAACCCCGGAAGCCCCAACTCCTCAACCGCAGTACGAGTTTTTGGATTGGATGTTCCCCCTTATACTAACAGTCCTGAATAGGGTTTATAATACCCCGCTATTATAGTCCCTATTCAGGACTGTTCGTATAAGGGGGAACACTAAACCCTTACTAAACCCTAAGCCCTAAACCCTAAACCCCAAACCCTAAACCCTAAACCCTAAACCCTAAACCCTAAACCGTAGGGGGGGCTTTAGGGGCTTCTGCTGGCGAGAGTCCTGGATGCCACCGCAGTTCTTAAGGCGGTGTTGGCGAACTTGGGGTCTTAGGGGGCGGCGGTTCAGGGTTCAGGGTTCAGGGTTCAGGGTTCAGGGTTCAGGGATCAGGGTTTAGGGTTTAGGGTTTAGGGTTTAGGGTTTAGGTGTCAGGGCTTAGGTCTTTCGATTCAACCGCCATTTGCGTATGGGGGCTTGGCCTAGGATTTCTTGCAGCTCGACAACACCCCTGGTTCTTAGTAGGGAATGAGGGAATGAGGGCCCTATATATATATATATACATTCATAGATATTTCTATATACCCTTCAAGGGATTACATAGGGCCCTCATTCCCTCCTTCCCTCATCCCCTCATTCCCTACGAAGAACCAGCCAGCAACAGCAGGACTTGGGCTCAAGGCTCCGCTCAGGTCAATAGCGGTGCCCGTCGTTTGCTGGGCCGCTGCCAGAGCCCACCCCCCCAATGGTCGGGTTCAGGGTACTCCCCGCAACCCCCAACCCCCCCAAGCCCTAAACCCCCAACCCTAAATCCTAAACCCTAAACCCTAAACCCTAAACCCTAAACCCTAAACCCTAAACCCTAAACCCTAAACCCTAAACCCTAAACCCTAAACCCTAAACCCTAAACCGAAAAAGAAAACTGCCAAAAAGCAGAAGCCAAAGTTGCATTCCCGTCTGCTTCTGTCAAGTTACGTCTAGGGGCTCTCGCAGCTGGCCAATGCCATCTTTCATATGATCCATGTTGCTTGCGGAGAGTGTTTGGGCTGTCTGGTGCCTCTGTCTCTTGGCCTTCTTCTGGAGTTTTTGGGACTTCAACCTTTTTGGGTCCCTAAGCTTTTGTAGGAAGCTGCAAGATGCGGAGCCTACTACAAGTTATGAACTTTTAGGGTTTAGGGTTTAGGGTTTAGGGTTTAGGGTTTAGGGTTTAGGGTTTAGGGCTTAGGGTTTAGGGTGTCAGAAAGTCAGCCAAGGTCTACTCACATCAGGTGAGCGGAGTGAGCACAGGCCAGGGTCCCAAGCTGTCTTGGGCACCGACGCTTGGCGAGGTTTCGGGAACAACACATGCACGCACTCCGAAAAAATCCTCCAAAAAACACTTGCGAGTCCTTCATAAGGAAGTTCGGGAATTGGGCAGCCTAGTTTCTCCATGCAGTACACTTTGGGAAGATAAATGTAGGGCTCGAATTCCCGAACTCCCCACGAGGAACCGGCAGCTACAGGCCTCCCCGGTCTCCGCTGGGTGCAATACTTCCAACCCTCTACTTGGAGGTTCATGGTACTTCCTTAACCAACGAAAGCTGCACGCATAACTGTACCTATAGCCATATTTGAAGGTACTCCCTTCAGAATGCCCTTTAGAGGGTTGAATCCACGGATTGATAAGGCCTACAGTAGCCCATCGGGAAGCAGCGGCTGAGAGAGAGAGAGAGAGCCCATCCCGATAAGGACGCGGACTTTGCGGAAGTCTCCCACGTCGACCTCCCGGTGCTCCGTCCTAGCCTGTTTAGGGTTTAGGGTTTAGGGTTTAGGGGCCTGGTGGAAGGATTCGGGCGACGTTGTGTTTCGACGTCTGAAACTACCTGGCTTTCATTTTGCTCCCATGACGTGCCCAAACCTCGAAATATTTGCATATTAGTGTATTATTCCACTCCTGTGCTATTGTTAATATCATAACATGATCATATTGTCATCTCATTGTTTCAAACAAGAGCTGGGCTTTGAGCAGGGAGGTGGGTTGAAGCATTGGCTACATCGTGCCATGCGGTTGGGTCGAGGAAATCCGGTCCGCAAGAAATGCATATCATTAGTAACTTTAATAATAATAATTTTTGTAATAATAACAATAATAATAATAATCAGAATCATCATCATCATCATCATAGAAAATATTAAGCATAGTCATAGTAATGGAGAGAAAGCATGCCAGACAGCACCTGGAACTTGAAATAGTTAACACGTTCGGCCCTTTACTTTAGTGACTGTTTTAGCTATTCAGCATGCTCGCTCAAAGGCCCCTACATTTTCAACGAGGCACCTGCCCAGACGAGAGTAGCCCACTACAATGGTACAGGGCTGCCTCGCCCCCTCCACGCCCCCTCCCCGCCCCTCCCCGCCCCCTCCCCCATGGTATCCCCTTGGCGTGGCTGCAGGTTGGTTTTTGGGTCTTGGGCTTAGGTTCTAGGGGTTAGGGTTTTAGGGCTCAGCTTTTTAGGGTTTCGGGTTTTAGGGTTTACGTTTTTAGGTATTAGGGTTCAGGCTTTAGGGCTTTACGGTCATGATCTAGGTACTCCCTCCTACCCCCCCCCCCGCCCCTGTGGTGTTGGGGTTTAGCGCTTCTGGTTTAGAGCTCACGCGTCGTTTTAGGGTTTAGGGCTTCGGGTTTTAGGGCTTAGGGCTTTAAAGCTTCATGGGGTTTTAGGGCCTGCAGGGTTTTTAATTTGAGGTTTAGGGTGTTTAATGTAGGGCCTGAGGGCTTGAGGGCTGTGGGTCCCTAAGCCCCCTGACCATATACAACCTGTTGCTTCACTGATCGTTGGAGAAGCAAGCTTTGAAGCCTAAACCCGAACTCGCAGCCTCTGCTTCATGATGAGCAGAAAAAAGCTTGCAGGAAAACCCTCGAAAAACCCTAAACCCAAAACCCTAAACCCTAAACCCTAAACCCCCCTACACCCTAAACCCTAAACCAAACAAAGGCGTACGGCCAAGCCTCCGGGGATGTTCGTCCTTCTGGTGTCCTGGAGCTGGAGGCGCGGAAGGGTCCTCTAAGTCGTTTACGTGTCAGGGAGCCGAATACCCAGCAATTCAGGGTTGATTAAGGGTCTCGGGTTGAGGGTTTAGGGCTAGGGTTTAGAGTTTAGGGTTTAGGGTCTAGGGTCTAGGGTTTAGGGTTTAGGGTTGAGGGTCGGTTTAGTGTTTTAGGGCTTTGAAGCTGCCGTCCCGCTAGGGGGTCCTCATATGCTACTCTAAGGCGTGCTCTCGACTCTCAAACGCCCTGGGAGCCATCGGCCTTGAACTAGGAAACATGGCATGAGCTGAATATTTTAGACACACATACGTTTATTATTACTATAATAATAATAATTATTATTATTATTTTCATTTTTATTATATATATATATATGGTATATTTTATTGTGTATCTGTTAATTTGTTTATGAGTGTATTTACTTGTGGAAATTCTAGGTATATCTAGGGTTCGGGGTTTAGGGTTTGGGGTTTAGGGTTTAGGGTTTAGGGTTAGGGGGATTTTCTTCGGTCTCCGCTTGGGTGCGTCAAGCACCGCCCTTCCTCGGCATCGGCTGGGTCAGTCAAGCTGCCTTGTCTTCACCGCCTCCGGTTTAGGGTTTGGGGTTCAGGGTTTAAGGTTTAGGGTTTAAGGTTTAGGGTTTAGGGTTTAAGGTTTAGGGTTTAAGGTTTAGGGTCCAGGCGTCAGTTTTTGCCGCATTCTGCTCCCTTCGCTTGCTTGTTTGGTCTCACACGCAGTTTGAGCATCGGGAGGGGCTGTGAGAGCGGGTGATCTGAGGTTTTTGGCTTGGTTTTGTGTCTGTTTTGTGCCGCCCGCATACGCTGTGGCAGGCTTGTTCCGCGCCGCCCGCAGAAGTAGTTTATGGCCTTTTCGTTCCACAGACTTATCACTCAGGCGAACTTATGCTAAGGTACCAGGCTATGTGGCGAGAAAGTACACGCTGGGGTCCATGGACCCTGAACCCCTGGTGAATGCTGCACGTCGGCCCTGACGGTGAGAGTTGGTGGGGGCTCTTGGTTCGGGAGTTACAGAGACTGATCACAGAGCTTCCCTGGACTGCAGCCCTGACATTCTCCATGCAAAGCGTGGTTACCCCGGATACTTGCACTCTTTTGCTTGGCGATACCAACTCGATGTGGAAGACTTCACCTCTAGCTTTGGCTGCCATTTCTTATGTGAAACGTTTGGTTCTGGCACACGGCTTCGCCTGTAAAGCTACCTGTTGTCTCTAAAGGTTCCCTCGCCCAAGGAGGGTTGCAGGAGTTCCGGGGTCAGTCCCGAGAATCCCCAGAGAGTCCCTACAAACCCCAAACCCTAAGCCCTAAACCCTAAAACCCTAAACCCAAAACCCTAAACCCTAAAGCCCTAAAGCCCAGAGCAAACGGGGCAAAGGGTTTAGGGTTTAGGGTTTAGGGTTTAGGGTTTAGGGTTTAGGGTTTAGGGTTTAGGGTTTAGGGTTTAGGGTTTAGGGTTTAGGGTGCATTTCAACCTCCAACGCCCGTGGCTGGGCCCGAGGCGAACTTTACCTCCTGTCCTTGTAGCGGTGTAGAGCAGCTGCGGGATGGTTTAAGATGTAGGGTTTAGGGTTTAGGGTTTAGGGTTTAGGGTTTAGGGTTTAGGGTTTAGGGTTTAGGGTTTAGGGTTTGGGGTTTGGGGTTTGGGGTGTAGGGTGTAGGATGTAGGGTTTAGTGTTGCGAGGCTTCAGAGCTTTGGGAGCACGGCGCAAGACATTGCAACAGGGCCCCGAGTGCCTTTCCCTACATGCAGGCTACGCAGGGCAAGGAAGATGCACCGTGACGCCCGCCTGCAGAGAGGGAAGCTGCTGAACTCTGAGCTGAGGAGAGCCAGCACGCCTGAATTCTATAAGCACTGCACCTCCTCAACTCTTCATGGAGGATGCATAGCCTTAACGCTGTATATACCCTAAACCCTAAACCCTAAACCCTAAACCCTAAACCCTGGGGCTTCTTGATGTGAGCCCATGGGTGCATGCATCACATTTCAGTCCGGGGTACCTGGGCTCGGTGGTCTCGCAGGTTTGTTTATGCTTCAAGGTTTGCCGGGTCCAGGGCTTCTGGGGTGTAGGGTTTTGGGTTGAGGGTTCAGGGTTTCGGGTTCAGGGTTCAGGGTTTCGGGTTCGCAAGTTTAAGACTTCCGGGGCGTTTTTCCTAAGTCTCCCCCCTGCTTCCCAAGGTCCCAGAGTGCGTGCCGTGCTGGAAGAGCTGGGAGTTCCACCCGCTGCACTCAATGGCCCCAAAGGTACCTGGCGTGGGATTACCTGGGCCGACCGCTTTCCGCATGCAATCAGCCACCTAGGTGGCAAGCCCGGTCTATGCGACGTGCGGGGTATTAGCCTGGAGGGACGGCCGCTAAAGGGACGGCTGCCGCCAGAGCTGGGTTCATTGAGAGAGTTCCAGGGCTTGCAGAAGCTTGCCCTAGCAAGGATCAAGGGCATAACTGGGAACATTTCGTGCCTTGGCAACCTGACGCTACTTCGGACCGTGTACCTGGCTGACACGGCAGTGTATGGAGATGTGGGTGCGTTTTCGCAGCTCTCTGACCTCTTCGTGCTGGTTCTCTCCGGCACGGCCGTAGGCGGCGAACTCGCGTCATTGAGGAACATGGTTACATTGTCAGAGCTGGAACTGGCCGGAACAGCGGTGACAGGAGATTTGAGAAGCCTTACAGTTTTTCAGTTTCCCAGGCTTGCGTGGCTGGATTCTTGGTAGCACAGTGGTCTCGACATAGCCCCAAAGTAGGTCTTATTTACAGACTTTAGACCCCAATGTAGGGTAATTTTATCCACTCGCAGCCTTAGGGTTACACCGGAGCCACCCCCTAAAAAAGGGCACCCTTGTGAGAAGGTGACGTCAGGCGCAAGGGCTCTAAACCCTAAACCCTAAACTTTTAGGGGCTTCGCCCTTGTGCGCCAGCGCAGCTTTTTGTTGAGTTGTCGTTAGCTGCCTTGTGCCTGGGCAGGCATGGAGGTTTAAATTGAACAGTTCGGCCCTTTGGAGCTGTTGTTTGACCCCCACGTGTTTTTTTCTCCCCGGAAGCTTTTCTTTCCCGAAAGCTTATTGGTGCCTTCCCGCTCCCGAGACCTTTCTGGTGCCTTGCCGGGTGTTTTCAGGAACCTGCTGTACCTTGGGCCAATTCGCCTTCTTTGGGTTTCTTGGCGACGTTTCCTTTTTGGGGGGATCTCTTGGGACCTATTTTGGGCCCTTCCCGGGCCCTCTTTGGGCTTTGGAGGCTCTTGGCCGGAGCTTGAGGCCTATTTTAGAGCTGCAAGGTTTCGTCCGCAAAATACTCTCTGAGCCGTTAATAGGAGACAAAGGGGCCCGGTGGGGTTGGTTCGAGCCCCCAAGAGGAGAAAAGGGGGTCCAGTGGGTTTAGGGTTTAGGGCAGCCTCTACTCCTCCAGACCTAGCTTGGGCGCCGAGCTGCGCTGGCGAACCCTAAACCCTAAGCCCTAAGCCCTAAGCCCTAAGCCCTAAGCCCTAAGCCCTAAACCCTAAACCCTAAACCAAGGATTTGTCAGACACAAGAGTACACGGAGAGGTGGGGGCACTACGTGAACTTGACACCTTGCGGACGCTGAAGCTTTCGAGAACCGCGGTTCATGGGGATCTGGTGCACCTTCTGGAACTGCAGCTGGGTATAGAGTTTAGGGTTTAGGGTTTAGGGTTTAGGGTCTAGGGTTTATGGGTAATAGGATGGTGCCCCTTCTCCCTTTGTGGGTTCCCTTAGAGAAGTCAGCCAACCCTCCCGCCCCCCCCCCCCCCCCCCCCCAAAAAAGGGGACCCGGAAGGAGTCAGAATGGTTACTACTTGGAGGCTCATGGGTACTTATGACCCAAATTCTAAGTCTACTTGTAGCCTACTTAGGGTCTTAGGGGGGGCTCATAAGTGCAGTTACAATTGGGGTTTTTAAGTACCCTGAACCTCCAAGTAAGACGACCCAGGCAGAATCTCCAGGTGGCGAAATTCGACTCCACGAAAGTCGCCGGGACTCCGAACTCGTCCTGGTCCCTTCGGGATACTTGGAAATATTTTTTGTTATATCCCGAAGGGTCCATGTCCCTACATAATATAGACTTGGGCCCTAGAGCTACTACATGGGAGCCCCCCAAGTATATACTATATAGGGTCATGGACCCTTTGGGTATAGTTTTTGGGCACTTGAAACAGCAAAAACTACAACTGTTGCTAGGGTTTAAGGTTTAGGGTTTAGGGTTTAGGGTTTAGGAGTTCCGAGTTCGGTAGAGGTCCTTCAAATGGCCGAAGCTTCGCTTCTTGTCCTTGGCCGCCGGGGGCTCGGCTTGACCCTAGGTTCTGAAGACACGGGGGCGGCGCATGGGGTGCTGCATATGTACATAAGCAGATGGATTATTTCTATACATATGTTTCCTATATATGTATATATACAGAGATTGTATATATATATATATATATAAATACACATACAGAGAGGTACATATTTTCAGAGCTTGTATGGTTTTTCCTATATGCCCAAGGCATAAACTAAGTTAGCCCCGAAAGGCCTTGGAGAAGCCCTGTGCAGGTCGGGCTAGGGGCTTCTGGGGGGATGGGCCCTCCGGGGCTACACGTCTGTTTCCAAAGCATGTCAAGGGTTGAGGGTTGCGGGTTGAGGGTTGAGGGTTTAGGGTTGCGGGTTGAGGGTTGAGGGTTGAGGGTTGTGTGCTGGCGCCGATCTCAGTTCGTGCTTCGAAGCGGGGTTTTGGTTTAGGGTGCATGGGCTGGGCACTGGCTCGCACCGGACTGTGCGAAAGCGAAGCTGAAACTGACTTGGGCATGGAATCTGAAGACCCTTGTTTGCCATGTGTGTGCAGATACATACATATATATATATATATACACCCCCGGGCCGAAAGTTTCGACCCACGGCACATGTTGGATGGTACGCAGACAGCGAAGGCTCCCGCGGAGTAGCGGAGTGCCGAGAAGTAGCGTTTTCCCTTTGCCTGCTAGCGGAGAAATTAATACCCCGTTTTAAAAATATAGTACTAGAGAAGCTCCGGAGGAGACCCCCAGGCTCACTGGTGTCAGGAGTCTATGGGGAAGAGGGCGGGGCACAGGTGTCAGGACCCCTAGATGTCGGTGGGTCGAACTATTGGCCCGGCGCAGCATGCGTTTTGGTGGCCAGAGTCTGCTTCAAAACGTGCTCACGGATCGAAGGCAGCATACGTTTCGGTGGCCAGAGTCTAGCGTGCTTTTTGGTGGCCAGAGTCTGCTTCAAAAAGCACTTACGGAAGGCCTGTGAAGTTTCGGCAAGACCAGTACTCCCCCAACGCATGCAGCATGCGTTTTGGTGGCCAGAGTCTGCTTCAAAACGTGCTCACGGATCGAAGGCAGCATGCGTTTCGGTGGCCAGAGTCTAGCGTGCTTTTTGGTGGCCAGAGTCTGCTTCAAAAAGCACTTACGGAAGGCCTGTGAAGTTTCGGCAAGACCAGTACTCCCCCAACGCATGCCTGCTCCTCACAAGGCCATGTCCACTAAAAAATCTGGTATCCACGACCCAAACGCCAATTTCCGCTTGTGTGCCCATGGCCGGCGTCAGCGTCGCGTTTTGGTGGCAGAGTCTGCTTCAAAAAGTGCTTACGACAGGCAGCATGCTTTTTGGTCGCCACAGTCTGCTTCATAATGCGTTTTGATGGCCAGAGTCTGCTTCAAAAAGTACTTTCGGAAGGCACCCCCGGGCCGAAAGTTTCGACCCACGGCACATGTTGGATGGCAGACAGCGAAGGCTCGGAGTAGCGGAGTGCCGAGAAGTAGCGTTTTCCCTTTGCCTGCTAGCGGAGAAAATACCCCGTTTTAAAAATATAGTACTAGAGAAGCTCCGGAGGAGACCCCAGGCTCACTGGTGTCAGGAGTCTATGGGGAAGAGGGCGGGGCACAGGTGTCAGGACCCCTAGATGTCGGTGGTCGAACTATTGGCCCGGCGCAGCATGCGTTTTGGTGGCCAGAGTCTGCTTCAAAACGTGCTCACGGATCGAAGGCAGCATGCGTTTCGGTGGCCAGAGTCTAGCGTGCTTTTTGGTGGCCAGAGTCTGCTTCAAAAAGCACTTACGGAAGGCCTGTGAAGTTTCGGCAAGACCAGTACTCCCCCAACGCATGCAGCATGCGTTTTGGTGGCCAGAGTCTGCTTCAAAACGTGCTCACGGATCGAAGGCAGCATGCGTTTCGGTGGCCAGAGTCTAGCGTGCTTTTTGGTGGCCAGAGTCTGCTTCAAAAAGCACTTACGGAAGGCCTGTGAAGTTTCGGCAAGACCAGTACTCCCCCAACGCATGCTGCTCCTCACAAGGCCATGTCCACTAAAAAATCTGGTATCCACGACCCAAACGCCAATTTCCGCTTGTGTGCCCATGGCCGGCGTCAGCGTCGCGTTTTGGTGGCCAGAGTCTGCTTCAAAAAGTGCTTACGACAGGCAGCATGCTTTTTGGTCGCCACAGTCTGCTTCATAATGCGTTTTGATGGCCAGAGTCTGCTTCAAAAAGTACTTTCGGAAGGCACCCCCGGGCCGAAAGTTTCGACCCACGGCACATGTTGGATGGTACGCAGACAGCGAAGGCTCCCGCGGAGTAGCGGAGTGCCGAGAAGTAGCGTTTTCCCTTTGCCTGCTAGCGGAGAAATTAATACCCCGTTTTAAAAATATAGTACTAGAGAAGCTCCGGAGGAGACCCCCAGGCTCACTGGTGTCAGGAGTCTATGGGGAAGAGGGCGGGGCACAGGTGTCAGGACCCCTAGATGTCGGTGGGTCGAACTATTGGCCCGGCGCAGTATATAGTTTTTTTTCTATATCTATTTCTTATTTATTACTTCTTAATTTATTTACACACTAGTGCGGCGGAGTGTGCAGGACCAAACAAGGCATAAGAAGCGCAAGTGAGCACCTTTGGGCCTCTTGCACCCCCTTTCTTGCACCCTTTTGGTTCCTTACACTAGGGTTTAGGGTTTAGGGTTTGGGGTTTAGGGTTTGGGCCGCGCGATTGCAAATCTTTGACTTGGGATCGAGTTGGAAAAGTTGGTGCTGTTGCTTCTACTTTTGCCAATAGTTTTGGTGAGCAGACAGGGGGCCATCGCGCATGGAGAACAAGTTGTAAGGTTTAGGGTTGAGGGTTTAGGGTTTAGGGGTTAGGTTCAGTCACCTGTGGACGTGCGTGGCGAAGTGCTTTTGAGCACGGCTACACTTTCGCAGCAGGTTTGTTTGCAGTCAGGTTCTTTTCGATTCCGACAACTCGGCTGGCCTTTTCGACGTCGGCGTTTGAACTTGATGGGGTGTGTGTGTGTGTGTCTGTCGGCAATGGCCTGAGTGGAACTCGGCCCGTGCTATGATCGGGCTTCAGCTCCCCGAGTCAAAAGGTTCAGTCACCCCCCAGCCATGGTACCCCCTCCCCTTCTCCGTGTGGGTTCAGGGTTTGAGGTAGGGTAGGGTTTAGCTTCACTCGCCCTCCCCCCCCCCCCCGGATGAAGGTGGGGTTGAATCTGTTAGGGTTTCTGGTATCTCCGCCCCACCCCCTCCCCTTTAATTCAGAGTGTGTTACCAGTGGCACGGGCTCTTGCATGCGTCAAGTACTTCTGGCTTCAAGAATTCCCAACTTAGGACCCCCGGACTAAGCCCTTACTTCCTTTTTTTAGGGTTGTAAGGGTCCCTTACAATCCCCTTAAAACCCAAAAGGGCAGCCCCCGTTTGTTATTCCTAGGTTACTCCTGGGTCTAGCAACCAAGGACTCGGCCGCGCGCTTCAACCCTAAGCCCTAAACCCTAAACCCTAAACCCTAACCCCTAAACCCTAAACCCACATGCAAGGACTCTCCAGCGCGCTTCCTGTTCGAGAATCTCTACCTTCGGCCGCCGGTGTTCTTCTTGAAGGACATCCAAGAGATCGATGCGTCTCGGTTTGGTGGAGAAGCTGCTTCGTAGCCCTAAACCCTAAACCCTAAACCCTAAACCCTAGACCCTAAACCCTAAACCCTAAACCCTAAACCCTCAAGATCGCTATGGTTATATGCAGCGAGCCTAAACCAGACCCAGCGAATGCCAACCCGGCCAAGCAAGTTCACGTTTCACATATCGAAAGACATCAAAAGTCATGGCTTCGGTTGGCGGTGTGTACCCAAAGGCTCCTAGGTTCAGGGTTTAGGGTTTATGCAATCGGTCATGCGGACTGTCACGAAGCGAGCCACTTGGCGACTAAACGGATTCCAATTCAGAATTTAGTGAGTCAGCCATCCCTTGTCTGTCTGCGGGCACGGCGATGGGCTAACCACAGCGCCACAAAATTTGGTCCCATGACACGTCTTGCTGTACACAGAAAGGAACTATCAAGGGAACGTCTGGGTCTTACCGAAATGCTCTGTACAGCATATTGGACATTCAAGGCCCAGAGAAAGTAGCTGAACGAACTGAATCTGCACCCCGCACATGTGCGCAAGTTGGCGAAGCGCAGTGGAAAAAGTCCTGACTTGTTGATGAAGAGGCTGTCTGGCCAGCATCAAGCTGGGAAAGCGAAGTTCGTGAACCCACATTGCCGGCGCCCTCTCTGTGCCATCTGGTAGCGGCGATCGCTTCCAACCAGCGACGTTGATTGGGACTAACCACCCCGTGTCATAGAGAAAAAGCAACAACATACAATTCAACTAAACTACAACCCAAAGGATCAGGAACCCAATTATTCAAGGAATGAAGCCACTCTAATAAGACTTGACCGAATTCTTTACAAAAAAGAAAAGATTCCCAAGACGGAAGTGTGCTCGGCCAGAGCGTTGTCGATATCCGTACTTGCAGGGACTTCAAGTGCTGAGACGAATACTGCCAGCAGTCTAGCGGGACCTGGGAGGAGGGCTTACTCTTACATTCACGACACAAAGTGGCTGCATGGGTTTGCAGTTGGTGGGCTTTGCTAAGGAAATTTCGCTTAGGGTTTCGGGTTTAGGGTTTAGGGTTTAGGGTTGTAGTACCTTTTTGGGGTAGCATACTCGAATCCCCCATAGCCAACCCAAAAAGGAACTACATTGGAGCCTTCAGGTAGGTGAAGGATCTTACTCTCATCGGATATGTTTGCGTCCAGAATCGTGCACCTCATACAACTCAAGGACATCGGCTTTCCAGCTGTTGTTGCGCTTCCGCCAGAATAGCCATAGGGTCGCTCCACCAAAGCACGTTGCAGCTGCTACCCTAAACCCTAAACCCGAAACCCTATACCCTAAACCCTAAACGCTAAACCCTAAACCCTAAACCCTAAACCCTGAACCCTAAACCCTAAACCCTAAACCCTAAACCCTAGCTATACAATCCCAAAGGTTAACCTTTAGTTCCTAAGGCTACTGGACAACGGAGAAAAAGCTCAGAAGTCCTCCCGAGGTTTCCGGCTGCCCGCTGAATGGCCACATCGAGCAATTCCTTGACATGTTTCGGGACCAGGGTTTAGGGGGATTGTTTAGGGTTTAGGGTTTAGGGTTTAGGGTTTCGGGACCAAGGGGTTTGGGATGTGCCATGACCTGCTCCAGCTGCGGATGTCGGCCGTAAAACCCTGCTAAAACCTAAACTCCCTAAACATCCTTTAAGCCCTATAGTTCAACGCCCTGTACAGCGAAAAGCTATTTCGAGACCCTTAAGCCTAAGCCAACGGTCGGAGATATGCTGGGTTAGGCTTTAGGGTTTAGGGCTTAGTTCAAGGTGCTGCTTCAAGGCAGCCTCAAGTATGGCTGCTCCTTGTGGAATTTCAAGTGGGGCGAATAAAGATGAACAAGTCGTCATCTAGCATGCCCTGTTCAACCCTAAACCCTAAACCCTCCACCCGCCCTGTCAGGACTCGCTGAACCTTGCCCGCCTCCGCGCTACGCGCTGTAACCTGTCGGGTCAGGCTGGGACATGGGCCGAACAGCACCTAGCACCCCAAGCCCTATACCTCAAGAAGGCTCCTTTAAAATAAAGTGGTACCTCGTTGGTGTCGTATGCTATAACCCCCTAACCCCCTAAACCCTAAACCCTAAAACCTGAAACCATAAAAAGAACTGCATTGTAGCCTTCAGGTAGAATGTAAACCACCCGAAACCCGAAACATGTCAGAAGCGGAAAGGGTCATGCTTGGGTGATTTTCCAGGCTCTGCCGAATACATGTGTGTTTGCAATTAAAGTAGTGCTATCATAAGCTTATGATCCTCAACTATAGTTCGTCCTCCCTCCCAGTATTTAACCCTGAAGGTGGACGACATGAAGGGAACCAGGTTGGCGAACTCTTTGCTGCTGCTAGACCTCGCGGGGAACAACATCACGGGGATCACAGGCTTCTGGGTTGTGCTTTAAAGGATCATTTTCAGTTTCCCTTTGTTTTCTTTATAAGGGAGCCCATTCAGAGATTATTTTCAGTCTCCCTATAACTGTAATGGAACCTATTCATAAATAGATTCTCGAGGGTTTAAAAAGCACAACTCAGGCTTTCCAGGCAAGTCAATTGTACAGGTGTCGCTCTCGAGGAACCCTCTCTTGGACATGTCCAAGAGCGCGCTTCTTCAGAGCATCAGGGAGGAGATACAGGTGGGGGTCTCCGAAATTAGGGGTACCTTTCTTGGGTTCCTTCTCATGAGGGACTCCTACTATTCGGGGGTCTAGTTTTAGGGGTTCCTAAACCCTAAACCCTAAACCCTAAACCCTAAACCCTAAACCCTAAACCCTAAACCCTAAACCCTAAACTCCCAGGTGGACCTGAGAGAGAGCATGATGCGCGACGTGTCGGCTGTGCAAGAGCTCTTCGAAGAGGGGTGGCTGCAGGCAACTCCCGAGGCGGTCATCCTGAACACAACTGCCACTTAGTGCTGGAGGAGTTAGGGTTTGGGGTTTAGGGTAAGGGTTTAGGGTTTAGGGTTTGGGGTTTAGGGTTTGGGGTTTCCACTTTTTTGGGGATACTATACTCCCCTATAGAACTGAAAGTGTACACCTTTTGTGGGGGGGCTCATCAGCTCAGCAGCTAAGGCTAACTACTACTGCCATGGGATTACATCACCAAGCCTGCGCATCACGCCGGAGCTGTTTTTCCCGATGCGGCTGTGTGCCTGCCTGCCGGGCTCGAGAGGAGTTGCTAGGACCCGGAGTAGGCCCTATCATTTCCTTTGTTAGGGTTGGGGTTTGGTTAGAGTTCCCGTAAAAACCAAAAAGGGTACCCTAAACCCTAAACCCTAACCCTAAACCCTAAACCCTAAACCCTTTTTCATTCCTAGGTTTCTCCTGGGCCTAGGTTGGCATTCATTGCGTGCCCTGTGCAGCCGACACCTTCTCCGATCTGACCAACCAGACCGATTGCAAAGCATGCCCCAGGCGGTTTTTATAGGGTTCTTAAGGGAGGGGTGTTCAAGGGGGGTTTAGGGTTTAGGGTTTAAGGTTTAGGGTTTAGGGTTTAGGGTTTAGGGTTTAGGGACCCAAGGCTCCCTAATACTCCCTAAGGCTCCCAAGCTTCCCAACCCTAAACCCTAAACCCTAGTTTCAGGAATCAACTTGGGAGCCTGTTGCATGGGGGCCAAGCCGACTGGGAGGGCTCTAGGAGTTGTACTTGGAGGTTCATGGGTACTTATAAACCCAATGAGTTTAGGGTTTAGGGTTTCGGGTTTAGGGTTTAGGGTTAGGGTACTTATGACCGCAATGATAAGTCTACTTAGAACCTACTTTTGGGACTAAGGGGGCTTGTAAGTACAGTCATAAAATGAACCTCCAAGACTACCCTAAACCCTAAACCCTAAATCTTAAGCCGTAAACCCTACTGTCGCAGGTTCTCACGGACAGCGCAAACGGGTGCAAGAACAGTGAACGACTGCCGCTGTGATTTTGGAAGGACGGCTGGGGTCTGGGCTTTTCGGGTTGGGGGTGTTACCTCTTGAAAGCATCCGTAGGAGGGTTTAGGGTTTAGGGTTTAAAGTTTAGGGGGTTCCAGTTGAATCCTCTTTATGGTCGAAAGTTTCTGGTCAAAATCCAGTTCTGCCAGTGTAGACTCCAAAGCCACAAAGCGTTATCTTACGTGTCACTCACAGGCAACAGCTACGACAGTTCTGCACCTCGCGAGGAGACGGGACCGAGACGCGCGATTTCGATCATCGCGACATGCGATTCCCTACGGAACGGACGCGTGAAGCGAAACCCCACGTGAGTCTAGCTGTAGATCCCGAGAGGCTGCGGAGTTCGGTCCTCCTGGGAGGGTCTTTGCCTACAGTTTTATGGGTCAAACACACTAATTCAGGGTAATTACTACCAAGCTGTAGGTAAATAGGGTCCAGGCACGCCATGTGCAACACCAAGATGATGTGAAGCATGAAAAAACCGCACGGGGCAGTGGCGAGAGCACGATTTGTCCCGTCGGGCGATGCCAATAAACTTGATCTTTTCCGATGAGTTCAACCGAAATCCGCTGCCGGGCTCCCACCCGGAGAGCCCCCTAAACCCTAAACCCTAAACCCTAAACCCTAAACCCTAAACCCTAAACCCTAAACCCTAAACCCTAAACCCTAAACCCTAAACCCTAAACCCTAAACCCTAAACCCTAAACCCTAAACCCAAAACCCTAAACCTAAAACCCTAAACCCTAAACCCTAAACCCTAAACCCTAAACCCTAAACCCTAAACCCTAAACCCTAAACCCTAAACCCTAAACCCTAAACCCTAAACCCTAAACCCTAAACCCTAAACCCTAACCCTAAACCCTAAACCCGGAGAGCCCGCTACAGACCATGGTTTTCTCTGGAGGCCTACACTTGTATTTTGGACAGCAACCACGCGCTCAGGCGCGGGCATGGCCTCTCATGCCTTCTTTGAAGCGGTCATCGCTTTGGGGGGCTTTTTCCCAAAGGGTCCATGACCCTATATAGTATATACTTGGGGGCTCCCATCATAGTAGCTTTAGGGCCCAAGTATATACTATATAGGGGCATGGACCCTTAGGGTTTGGGCTCACGAAGTGCGAAACTGTCCGTTGCTTGGGATGTGTGGGCTCGCAAGTTGTGCGATGGACTCCTGGTTCGGCCACAAGTTGCCCTAAGGGTCCATGTACCTGAATAGGGGTTTGGGGTTTGGGGTTTGGGGTTTAGGGTTTAGGGTTTAGGGTTTGGGCCTTAAAGTGCCTCCTGGTAATAGGGACTTTAGGGCCTAAGTATATAAAATCGAGGTACATGGACCCTCAGGGTTACATCCGGAGAAATCCCTCCGGTCTATCTGGAGCGCCCGGCTGTGATCGGATAGACTCGCTTTCAAAAGCTCCACATTCTGTCGGCGCAAGGGTTTGGGGTTTAGGGTTTAGGGTTTCGGGTTTAGGGTTTAAGCCCCAACTAGGTCAAGACCTCGGTGGCCCACCAGTCCCAATGTGACGACAGTTTCGCATTTCGCGAACACGGACTTCAAAAAGCGATGGCCGTTTCGAGGACGGCGAGCCGGGGCCACGCCCGTACCTAGGCGAGAGCGCGGTTTGAGTCCAAAAAGGCATTGCCCTCTTATGCCCTTCTCGTTGAACACCCTTTAGTGTTGAGACGCTGTTGTTTGGGGGGCACGAGCAGTACTTGTTTTTTGCGTTTCTCTTGGACCAAGTGGTGCACCTGTTCAGGGTTTAAGCCGCTTCGCGGAGGATTGGATTGGACAATGGCACCTGCGTGTGCGAGCGTGGCTTCGCGCTGAATTTGGACGAGCTCGGCCAGCGCGACTGCTTGAAGTGCGACGAGTTCAACCTGGACAGGGTTTTGGGTTTAGGGATTAGGGTTTAGGGTTTTGGGTTTAGTATAGGGGAGGAGGGGGGTAAGGATGTGCAGTAGGTCAAGGTTTAGCAAAGTTGGGTTCAGCGTGTTGCCAAACCCGAAAGTGAAACAACGCGATGCGCATACGGCATCTGCTTCGAGATTGTTCAACTTATCTCAGCCCGAGGGAACTTAAAAACAAACCCAAGAAGTATCATCAGTTTGAAGGTTCGAAGGGGATCTGCGGGGTATGAACCCTACCTAGACCCCTGGGAGGATCCAAAAAGTAGATCCCTATTCAGGACTGGTTGTATAAGGGGGGACATCCCAACCTACAACCCTACAGCTTTAGAGCCTTAAATCCTGATTCCTATAACCCTAAACCCTAAACCCTAAACCCTAAACCCTAAACCCTAAACCCTAAACCCTAAACCCTAAACCCTAAACCCTAAACCCTAAACCCTATACCATACTTCACAGCCTTATAGAAGGACTGCGAAGGCCCTGGACACACGCTGGCCGCTGCCCCGCCGAAGCCCGGCTTCGCTCGCCTGCAGCCCGGCGACACGCGGGGCTTCAGGCCACGGGTTTCGGGCCCCAAAAATGGGCTGCCCCTAAACCCTATAGCCTAAACCCTAAATCCTAAACCCTAAATCCTAAACCCTAAACCCTAAATCCTAAACCCTAAAATGCTAAACCCGAAACCTTCACGAGAAGTATCTTTCGGATTTCGGAAAGTGGCGTGGTTTCGTAGGGGGGGGGATGATAGCATCCTCTGCGCCTCAGAGAGCCCCGGGTTTAGGGTTTAGGGTTTAGGGTTTAGGGTGTAGGTTTTGGGGTCCATGGTGCAGAAGCTGAGAAGGTTGGGATGCAGAGTAGCCTCGAAAGCTTCGTAGCATGCGAAAGGCCCCACCAGGCAGCTCTGAACCCGGAAACTTTGCTTTAGGGTTTAGGGTTTAGGGTTTAGGGTTTAGGGTTTAGGGTTTAGGGTTTAGGGCTTAGGGCTTAGGGCTTAGGGCTTAGGGCTTAGGGCTTAGGGCTTCGGGCTTAGGGCTTAGGGCTTAGGGCTTAGGGCTTAGGGCTTAGGGCTTAGGGCTTAGGAGACTAAATGCTGCCTTGCTTTGTGATCCTTACGAGTCATGTTTACCGATGTCTTTGTTTCTGGCGGGGGGGGAATCTAAATGATATGCCCTGTTTGGTATCCCAAACGTTAAAGGGGAAAAAACTTGTAGTAGCCCACATCAAGGGATGTAAGCTCGCACCCGAAGGATGTGCCCCTGTAAGGTTCGTTCCCTCATACTCCGACGAAGCCATAGGGGTTTCCGAACACAGGGGCACCCTTTTGGAGGGTCTCTTTAAGGGGATTCTATTCCATTTCGGGGTACCCCTATTTTGGGAAATGCCCATATTCCCGTCGGGGTCTTGGGAAAGGGTCCCCGAACCCAACCTGGTGCAGGTGCGCAGAGCCTGCAGATCAGCACTGCAACAGCAGCAAAGATTCTGGGCTACTGGGCTGCGCCGCCGGCAGCTGAGACGGCAAAGCACAATGTGTGGAGCGGTTTAGGGTTTAGGGTTAGGGTTTAGGGTTTAGGGTTGAGGGTTGAGGGTTGAGGGTTGAGGGTTGAGGGTTGAGGGTTGAGGGTTGAGGGTTTAGGGTTTAGGGTTTAGGGTTTAGTGTCTTAGGGTTTAGGGCTAGGGTTGTCTAAAGCTGTTTTGAAATGAAAATTCCATGTGTCCACCCACCTGATCCAGGCTATGCTGGGCCATTGTGCGTCACCTGCAGCGATGGCTACCGCAGCAAACGCAAGCTGTGCCGGAAGTGCGCCGACTCTGCCACGCGGCCGCATGCTGCGTCGTGCCCATGGGGTATGCGCTGCTTACCGGTATTGCCCTAAACCCTAAACCCTAAGCACTAAACCCTAAACCTTAAACCATAAACCCTAAACCCTAAACCCTAAACCCTAAACCCTAAACCCTACTGCTGAGGAGGGGATCAGGAGATCTCGGCTTCGGATAGCTGCTGGCATCTTAGGGCTCGGCACGCTGATCGCAGCTGTTGCTGTGGTTGCCTTCTGGCGAAAGACACGGACCGGCACTCACGGTTTAGGGTTTAGGGTTTAGGGTTTAGGGTTTAGGGTTTAGGGTTTAGGGTTTAGGGTTTAGGGTTTCAGGGCCAAAGGAGACGGACCGGCATTCATGTCGGTGGGTGTCATAATTATGATTGGGGTGCCCTAAATATTAGGTGCCGTACTATAACAGGGATCCAAAAAGGGACCGTGTTTTTTACAGCCACCCATATCTACAAGTTGCCGGGGGGGGGCGGGGGGGGGGGGGGGGGGGGGGGGGGGCGGAAGGTTGTGGGATGTTGCAAAGGGGGACGTGTGCGGAGAGCATAGAAGCGGGTTGCGACAGCCAAAACCCTGTCAGTTAGGAATGTCGTACTTCTCTTTGTGGTTCTTTACTGTAACTTTACATCTTTAGCCTTTTTGGGTTTATTGGGTTTCTTAATAAGGCAGCTAAAAGTTTAACTTTTTTGCTACCCTCCTAAGTGCAGCCAAGTTGTTTCGGAAGCCCGGTCCAGAGCCAGCTGTTTCTGGAGCCTGCGAGGACACCTGTGAGGACACGCGCTGCACGGGACTCCGATGGATTCTGGGAGGCTCTCTTCGGTTGGTTGATTTGGGTTTAGGGTTTAGGGTTTAGGGTTTAGGGTTTAGGGTTTAGGGTTTAGGGTTTAGGGTTTAGGGTTTAGGGTTTAGGGTTTAGGGTTTAGGGTTTAGGGTTTAGGGTTTAGGGTTTAGGGTTTAGGGTCGCTCCATAGTTCGCATTGCAACAGTTAAGTTCCTACTACAGAACATGCACATGCAGTAGATGGTGCATGTGCATTCTTGGTGTGATGCTCCAGCCGCAGATCATAGAAGGAGGGAACGATGAGAAACCCAAACCCCTTGCCCCAAGTAAAGGCTGGCAGAGTCTAGGATTCCTCTATGGGTAACCTTTTGAGTACCGGATCCCTTATATGCAAGGGGCCCGAAAGGGACTTTAAGTTTTAGCTCTGTGGGCTGTGAAATTGATGTCATTTTGTCCATCCGTCCTCCCGTTTAGCCGCTGCCGGTTACATGTGGTCATACAGACAGACAGAGAGGGGGGGGGGGGGGGCGCAGATTTTCTCTTCGAAGCTCCGAAGAAATATACATACAGAAATAAAGAGTACATATACACAAATGAATAATAGGAACAATAATATATATATATATATATATATATACATACATACATACATACATACATACATACATACGTGTATACATACATACATACATACATACATACATACATACATACATACATACATACATAGAAGGGTCCCGTTTTTACAATGCTGACTCATGGCCACAATGGCCCCTGGCTCCCTTGCAAAGGTGCTTCGCCCGATGCTGCGGGCCCAGATGCGCATACTCCTGCAGTTTGTGCAGCTGCTTGGGTTTAGGGTTTAGGGTTTGGGGTTTGGGGTTGGGGTTTGGGGTTTACGGTTTAGGGTCTGGGGTGTAGGGTTTGGGGTTTAGGGGTTGGTCGCCCAGTGGTACCCTTTTCCCTTTTTGTTGGTTCAAGGTTTCCTGATACAGTAACCATCCCCGATGAAAAGGGGTGGCCCTTATATTATAATATGGCTGCTGATGTTGCTGGGCTAAACCCTAAACCCGACACCCCAAACCCCAAACTCCAAACCCTAAACCCTAAACCGTAAACCCTAAACCCTAAACCCTAAACCAAGGCTTTGGGGTGTGCTTACAGCTCTAAACGAGAGCTTGTCTCTGTGGGAGCAGGCATCCGCTGCTCTGTCTGGTTCGCTATGACTTTGCGCTGTGCTTCTTGTTTTTCCTAAACCCTAAACCCTAAACCCCAAACCCTAAACCCTAAACCCTAAACCCTAAACCCTAAACCCTAAACCCTACACCCTAAACCCTAAACCCGAAACCCCAAGCGCAGGAGTACGTGCAGTGGCTGCAGCTAACAGCTGGGGGCCTACAGGATGCCTTCAAGCTGGAGTGCCCCTACGGGGGTGAGGACGCCCGCTTCGTGACCGCCCTGGCGGGACCCCTGGTGCCCCTGGCGCTGCTTCTTGACAGGGTTTAGGGTTTAGGGTTTAGGGTTTAGGGTTTAGGGTTCAGTGTTTAGGGTTTAGGGTTTTGGGTTTAGGGTTTTGGGTTTTGGGTTTCCCAATCAATGATCTGGGCTTTAAGGGGGGGCTGTTGAGGCTCCTCCTCTGCATGCTGCTGGAGGCCGTCTCCAGGAGCATGGGCAGCTTCGTTGCAGCAGAATTCCATGTAGGCATGTTGCCTCACCAAGCTACTAATTGCTTAAGAACCCCGATCAAACAAAGAATATTCTTCCTTATTCAGGGTAATATAGGGATTATTATTTGTTATTTGTTTTGGGGTTCTTAAGCAAATAGTAGCAAGTCAGGGTCGCCGTGTAAGGGTTCTTCCAAACGGGACAGAACAATTCCGGGGAGTCATCCAGGGTCTGGAGAACTGGCTATTGAACAGACGTAGCGTGTCCGTAGCACGCGGAGCTCTGCAGGAAAAACTCCAAAGAGAGAATGGTTAGACCGTTAGACCCCAATTCTTTCCTCACAGCCCTCGTGTTACACCTAAGCCCTAAACCCTAAACCCTAAACCCTAAACCCTAAACCCTAAACCCTAAACCCTAAACCCTAAACCCTAAACCCAAGGCATCAGGCTCGCGCTGAAGTTACTCCCTTTCCTCTTCATCGGTGGAGCCTCCAGCTGTGCCGTGCTCAGCCGGGCTCAGCCGGCCAGTTCTTGTGGACTAGAAGCCTTTAGGGTTTAGGGTTTAGGGTTTAGACATTAGGGTTTAGGGTTTAGGGTAACATGCTACACAGCTTAAGTAAGGGCTCACTGGTTTCGCGAAGATGCCAAGGTTGCTGCGGGGACCTAGTTCCGGAATCCGACAGTAGAAGCTACCTTGATGCTCGAACACTGTAGGTGCACGACTCATGAGCTGCCAGTACCACGATGGAGGCGAGGGGAAGTCACTGTTCAAGGCAGTCATATGTGCCTTGTGGGGGACGGTGTACCCTAAAACCCTAAACCCTAAACTTCGACCTAAACCCTAAACCCTAAACCCTAAAACCTAAAACCTAAACCCTAAACCCTAAACCCTGACAGGTGGCCAAGCTCTTGGAGAGGCTTCCTTCCGGGTGCTGTTGCCCCACCTGAAGTGCGAAGATCATGGCTGGCAGGCCACATTGGTGCGGGCCTCACTCAGGGTTCAGGGTTTAGGGTTGAGGGTTTAGGGTTTAGGGTTCAGGGTTCAGGGTTTAGGGTTTAGGAGGGCTTTCTATGGCAGAAGCCCTGACAACGCGGGTACTTTCAATAAGAGCTGCTGCTGTCGCAGCCATGGTGAACACATGTTGTGCCAGAACCAAGAAGCAAGCTCGAAATGTAGGGTTCGCAAGAATTACTAATAGCATTCCCTTTTGGCCCCTTTACAAATATGCTATCATAGCCCCCCGAGACTCTATTCTAGTTATTTAAGGTCCCTACATGATGCCAACTTTCTGCTTTGAGGCAGATTGCGTTGGATGGGTCTCAGCCGTTTCCTACGTCATCCTCATCCCGGGCTTCTTGCTATACCTCCTGCGAAAGCAGAAGCGGGCAGTTGCACCAAGCAGGCGGTCCCTGGCAACTGCAGCTTGGTAGCCCGGGTGGTACCCTCTTCCCCCTTTTTTTGGTCCAGGGTTCCCCTAAACCCTAAACCCTAAACCCTAATCTCTAAACCCTAGACCCTTACCAAGTAACCAACCCAAAAATGGGTGCCCTTATTATGATATGGTTAGTGGGGCTACCAAGGCAGAGATCCAGCAAAACGCCGCGGTCGTGCGCCTCCATGCCTTCCAGGCGCGAGACGGCTCGCAGCCACACGGTCTCGACAAGGAGCGCCGGATCACCGAAGCTTCTGTGGGCTTGAAGAGGGGGAAGGGGGGGGGGGGGAGTTCTCTAGGTTAGGTACCCTCTCTCTCTCTCTATATATATATATATATACAGGGCTCAGTATTTGTAATACCTATGGATGTAGAGTCGCCACCCCCACACACGGTTCCCACTCATTCGCACGAAGCTTTGCCACGTGGCTTAGAGCTGCTTCAGGAGCCCAGGGGAGTAAGGCATCTGCTTGCCGCGGCGATTGCGCATGGCACCGTGTATTTTCGGGGGAAGGTGAGGCTGCAGCTTCAGGAGAACCAGATGATGTGGCTTGGTAATATAGGGGTCGGAAGAAGTACTAGTAATATTCCGTTTTTGGTGCCTTTGAAATTATAATAGAATAACCCCCAAAACCCCAGTCTATTTATTCAGGCCCATATACTGCTCTGAAACTTCATGTCCTGGGTACATCCCAGGCGCTACACCTTGATGAACAGACAACTTCACCCGGCTACGGCACAGGTTCATAACTCTACTGCATGAGTAAGAATGTAGTGTGTCGCCAAAACTCTGTGATCTACGCGGCAGTTTTCTGAAGATGCAAGAATATACCCTCCTGGTTGTCATCCGCATGGGGCCTTATTAACTTGGGCTCTGATGCAGTGTGGGCCACTGTTTTGAGCGGTTTTCGGGTGCCCTTAATCCGAAACCACCCTAAACCCTAAACCCTAAACCCTAAACCCTAAACCCTAACCCCAAACCCTAAACCCTAAACCCTAAACCCTAAACCCTACTGTAAACCGTAAGGTCTCAAGGGGTTCTGCTTGTTCGGCCCTGCAAGCTCAGGCATGTGCAGCTCCTGGGAGACGATCAGGAGGGCCTTGACGCGGGGAATGCTGCTTGGCCTGAGGAAGCCTCGAGGATGTCCGAGCGGTTTAGGGTTTAGGGTTTAGGGTTTAGGGTTTAGGGTTTAATTAGGGTTTAGGGCTGCATCGACTCTGGAGTGCGAAAGGGTACTCGATTCAAGGGCTCACATACTCTGACTTAGGGCTTGTGACAGCTTGTGGAGCGACTGGCGTGTGGAGTGAATGGGGTGGAGGGTTTAGGGTTTAGGGTTTAGGGTTTAGGGTTTAGGGTTTCGGGTTTAGAGCTTGCAATAGAGAGAGGCGAGCACCCTCTCCGCGGTGGCCCAAAGAGACCAAGAGTATGTGGACCAGCGCCGGTGGATTAAAATCACAAGGCGCCTCACTGCGCTGCCGTGAAGGTTTAGGGTTTAGGGTTTTGGGCTTCAGAACCCTCCATTTGGGGGTTGAGGTTCAGGGCTTGCGGCAAATAAAGGAGTTCGGGTCTTGAGGGTTGGGGTTTAATCGGGGTAGTCTTTTGGGCGACTCCTAGAGTAATGACTCGTTTTGGGGGTATTTTTTTCCTGGGAAATGCCTATTTGGACCAGGATGCTTACAGAACGCTGCGTCTTCCAGGATGCAGAGGAAAGTGACCGAAGCTTGGCTAGAATGTGGCACTGGAGAAGGTTCCGGCCCTTATACCCCATACCCCTCAATTAGGGATAAGATGACGGATGTCGCGGCCAAGTAGCTAGGTTTGCGTCTAGGGTAGAGTATCCCTGCACCTGAAAATGACGATGATGAAGGCTACGGAGACTGGGGGCATGTCCCATTTCAGGTCTACGCATCAGCTCTTGGTAAGCCTCACGACTATGTTGGTAGTTGTAAGGTTTGAGGCAGCAGTCGGGTTTGCGAGAAAAGATCCTAACACGAAGGGACCTTTACGGTTCATTTGGAATAGGTCCCCATCCCAGGAGTATTGGCAGGCGCGGAAAGCCTCTTCTGCAAATACGCGGCTTGCCTTGTACTACTCTGAGCTTCCCAACCTAAACCCTAAACCCTAAACCCTAAACCCTAAACCCTAAACCCTAAACCCTAAACAAACCCTAAACCCTAAACCCCTCAGCAGGCTTCGAGCTGCCTCTCAGGTGACCTTCGAAAGTGTTTGGGTCGAGGTGGCACTCAAGCTGGTGTCCGCCGTGCTGGTCTCGGCGGCTCGGCTTGGGGTTTAGGGTTTAGGGTTTAGGGTTTAGGGTTTAGGGTTTAGGGTTTAGGGTTTAGGGTTTAGGGATTTAGGTTTTAGGTTTAGGGTCTAGGGTTTGGGGTTTGTGGTTTAGGGTTTAGGGTTTAGGGTCTAGGGTTTGGGGTTTGTGGTTTAGGGTTTAGGGTTTAGGGTTTAGGGGCTAGGGGTTTCGGGTTTAAGGGTTTAGGGTTTTGTGAGCAAGCAGCTGGTTTTTCTGGCATTCCCCACCCAGCCCAGATGCAAAATAGAAGGGTTTTGTGAGCTTACCCGGCATTCGTCATGAGGCCTGGATGTAGAAGGGTTTAGGGTTAATCCCTTAAACTCTTAAACCCTGAAACCCTTAAACCCTAATTACACCGCAAACCCTGAACCCTTAAAGCCCACAGATCACATCGGCCATCACTTGGAGGTTCATGGTACTTGTTAACCAGTTATAACTGTACTTGTACTTATAACCATATTAGGACACTTAAAAGGCTTAAACGTGGGTTATAAGTACAAATGCAATTGGTTAATAATTACCACGAACCCCTAAACCCTAAACCGAACCTCCAAGTGGGCCGAGGTGGTTGCGAGCCAAGATGGCCTCCAGCTCTGCGTGGGTTTCTTGATGGCTGAGGGGGCAGCCCTTTTGCGAGTTCTTGAGTTCTTTGGGTCAAGGTGCTCTTACACAGGAACCAAATTCCAAACCCCAAATCCCAAAAAGCCTAAACCCTAACCCTAAACCCTAAACCCTCAGCCAATTTCCCTGCACAGTGTCCGAGAGGTCAGCTAGGCAGGTGGCAAACCCTAACCCTAAACCCTAAACCCTAAACCCTAAACCCTAAACCCTAAACCCTAAACCCTAAACCCTAAACCCTAAACCCTAAACCCTTACTGGGCTACCAAGGTTTTACTCTGGTCACGGCAGCTTCCTTGGCGCTCTTCCAGCCGTATGTTCAGCGGCAGGTTGGTGAATTGTGAGGACTCTGTTTCGGGAGCGAGGGTTTAGGGCCTAGGGTCCAGGGTTTAGGGTTTAGGGTCTAGGGTTTAGGGTTTAGGGTTCAGGGTTTAGGGTTTGGGGTTTGGGGTTTGGGGTTTAGGGTTTGGGGTTACCTGCTTAGGGGGTAGCAGCCCACCATGCGGAGCCCCAGTAAAGGACCCCATCCGAGACAGACTAACAGTCCTTAAGAGGGATTATCGTACCCTCTGCGGTTTAGGGTTTAGGGTTTAGGGTTTAGGGTTTAGGGTTTAGGGCTAGTATAGGGGGGAACATCCCAAGTGATGCCCAAAGCCCTTCGACCCGAAACGTAGATTTCCACAGGCGAACGAACTGCATAGTTTCAGCTTCCTGTGCCGCTCGGACGGAGATTCCTTGGCTTCTTGAAAAGATTTGGGGTTTGGGGTTACCCTAAAACCCAAACCGCAATTCTGGATCCCGCTGGATGGACCCTGTGGCTTCTTTTGGTTCTTGGTTTCAGGGTGCAGGGTCCAGGAAAATCTTCCAAGCAAGAGGATAGTGTGAACTTTGGGATTCATATCTGTTTTGGGAGGGTGGGGCGATCTCGGACGTTTTGGATACTTTTTGTTCGGATTCCTGACCTTGTCATTCCATTTTTTACGTGGTTGCTTTTGTTGCTGGGAGTGCTGGGGAGGGTAGTCAGGCTGTTTGGACGCTCCGCCTAAACCCTAAACCCTAAACACGAAACCCTAAACCCTAACCCTAAACCCTAAACCCTAAACCCTAAACCCTAAACCCTAAACCCTAAACCCTAAACCCTAAACCTCATGAAATGTGCTCGCTACGAAGCCCTAAGCCCTAGGCCAGCAGCTGAGCAGCCTGAATCTCAGGTGGAACCATGAGCCCTTAGTCCCTAAACCCTAAACCCTAAACCCTAAACCCTAAACCCTAAACCCTAAACCCTTGTTAAAACCCAATAAGCCCTCTGGATGGTCGTATATACATATATACTGAATTATTGATTTATTTAATTTGTGTTTACTTCTATCTGCACATATATACATATAGATGTATGTATGTATGTATGTATGTATGTATGTATGTATGTATGTATGTATGTATGTATGTCTGTATGTATGTATGTATGTATGTATGTATGTATGTATGTGTGTATGTATGTATGTATGTATGTATGTATGTATGTATGTATGTATGTATGTATGTATGTATGTATGTATGTATGTATGTATGTATGCATATATGCATATACGCACATATATATATATATACGCAGTATATTGTATCCAATTATCTATCTATCTATCTATCTATCTATCTATCTATATACTGTACATATGTTTTTTCTCTTTGACTGTCATCTGTTCTTTACATGGATGTACCTTTTTTACACCAGTGCAACAACAATTCACAGCATATCCGCACAAAGAATACATATATATATATATACATCGATCTACATATATATATATGTAAGAGGGACCTTTAGGTACTATGTGATTACTTTCCTTTCTTGGAGAAGGAGGTTAAATAGTTTAGATAGTTTAGATAGTTCAGGAAGCCCCTGAACTATCTAAACTATCTAACCTCGATTTTGGGAAAAAAGGAGGTTAGATAGTTTAGATAGTTTAGATAGTTTAGAAAGCTTCACTTCCCTCTGGGTCGTCCCCAGCCAGAGGTTAGATAGTTTAGATAGTTTAGATAGTTCAAAAAGCCCCTGAACTATCTAAACTATCTAACCTCTTTCCGGGGAGGCCCCCAGGAGGTTTGAAACTTTCTAAACTATCTAAACTATCTAAACTATCTAGCCTCGATTTTGGGAGAAAAGGAGGTTAGATAGTTTAGATAGTTTAAATAGTTTAGATAGTTTAGACGAGCCCCTAAACTATCTAAACTACCTAACCTCGATTTTGAGAAAAAAGGAGGTTAGATAGTTTAGATAGTTTAGATAGTTTAGATAGTTTAGATAGTTTAGATAGTTTAGATAGTTTAGAAAGTTTCAATTCCCTCTGGGTCGTCCCCAGCCAGAGGTTAGATAGTTTAGATAGTTTAGATAGTTCAGGAAGCCCCTGAACTATCTAAACTATCTAAACTATCTAACCTCTTTCCGGGGAGGCCCCCAGGAGGTTTGAAACTTTCTAAACTATCTAAACTATCTAAACTATCTAAACTATCTAACCTCGATTTTGGGAGAAAAGGATGTTAGATAGTTTAGATAGTTTAGATAGTTTAGACGAGCCCCTAAACTATCTAAACTATCGAACCTCGATTTTGGGAAAAAAGGAGGTTAGATAGTTTAGATAGTTTATAAAGTTTAGATAGTTTAGAAAGTTTCAATTCCCTCTGGGTCGTCCCCAGCCAGAGGTTAGATAGTTTAGATAGTTTAGATAGTTCAGGAAGCCCCTGAACTATCTAAACTATCTAAACTATCTAACCTCTTTCCGGGGAGGCCCCCAGAAGGTTTGAAACTTTCTAAACTATCTAAACTATCTAAACTATCTAAACTATCTAAACTATCTAAACTATCTAACCTCGATTTTGGGAGAAAAGGAGGTTAGATAGTTTAGATAGTTTAGATATTTTAGATACGAGCCCCTAAACTATCTAACTATCAACCTGATTTGAGAAAAAGGAGGTTAATAGTTTAGATATTTTAGATAGTTTAAGATAGTTTAGAAGTTCAATTCCCTCTGGGTCGTCCCCAGCCAGAGGTTAGTAGTTTTAGATAGTTTAGATAGTTCAGGAAGCCCCTGAACTATCTAAACTATCTAAACTATGCTAACCTCTGCTGGGGACAACCCAAGGGAATTGAAACTTTCTAAACTATCTAAACTATCTAAACTATCTAAACTAATCTCAAACTATCTAAACTATCTAACCTCGATTTTGGGAGAAAAGGAGGTTAGATAGTTTAGATAGTTTAGATAGTTTAGACGAGCCCCTAAACTATCTAAACTATCTAACCTCGATTTTGGGAAAAAAGGAGGTTAGATAGTTTAGATAGTTTATATAGTTTAGATAGTTTAGAAAGTTTCAATTCCCTCTGGGTCGTCCCCAGCCAGAGGTTAGATAGTTTAGATAGTTTAGATAGTTCAGGAAGCCCCTGAACTATCTAAACTATCTAAACTATCTAACCTTTTTCCGGGGAGGCCCCCAGAAGGTTTGAAACTTTCTAAACTATCTAAACTATCTAAACTATCTAAACTATCTAAACTATCTAACCTCGATTTTGGGAGAAGAGGAGGTTAGATAGTTTAGATAGTTTAGATAGTTTAGATAGTTTAGATAGTTTAGACGAGCCCCTAAACTATCTAAACTATCTAACCTCGATTTTGAGAAAAAAGGAGGTTAGATAGTTTAGATAGTTTAGATAGTTTAGAAAGTTTCAATTCCCTCTGGGTCGTCCCCAGCCAGAGGTTAGATAGTTTAGATAGTTTAGATAGTTCAGGAAGCCCCTGAACTATCTAAACTATCTAAACTATCTAACCTCTTTCCGGGGAGGCCCCCAGGAGATTTGAAACTTTCTAAACCATCTAAACTATCTAAACTATCTAGCCTCGATTGTGGGAGAAAAGGATGTTAGATAGTTTAGATAGTTTAGATAGTTTGCGTAGTTTAGACGAGCCCCTAAACTATCTAAACTATCTAACCTCGATTTTGGGAAAAAAGGAGGTTAGATAGTTTAGATAGTTTAGATAGTTTAGATAGTTTAGAAAGTTTCAATTCCCTCTGGGTCGTCCCCAGCCAGAGGTTAGATAGTTTAGAT